CAACGCCCAACACTACCTGGACCCCAAAAGTTTGTAGAATAATAGCCTTTTATAGGTTTTGGGCCATTATTTTACCTATTTTTGGGGGTCTAGGTACTCCCTTAAATTTAGACTCCCTGAAGCCTCTTCTTCAACTCCCTAAGCCCGCTGTCAATCCCTAAGCCCTCAACCCTGAACCCTAAACCCTGAACCCTAGACCCCGAACCCTGAATCCTAAACCCTAAGCCCTAAACCCTAAACCCTAAAACCCTAAACCCTAAACCCCTAAACTCTAAGACTCTAAACCCTAAACCCTAAGACTCTAAACCCCAAACCCTAAACCCTAAACTAAACTAAACCTGAACCAAGAGACCCTAAACCTGACGCATTTCAGCACCGCAGTGCCCCGGCTTCGCTTCCTTTGCCAGGCCGGTGAAGACTTTGAGCCGGTGGAGGGAACCTTGGAGTGCGCCGGGCTTCTTTTGCTTAGCGGTTTAGGGTTTAGAGATTAGGGTTTAGGGCTTAGGGGTTTAGGGGTTTAGGGTTTAGGGGTTTAGGGTTTAGGGATTAGGGTTTATGACTGGTGGGCTTCTCTTTTGAATATAGGGGGTTTGGAGGGGTTTGGGGATTTAGGGTTTAGGGTTCAATTGGGTTGAGGTTTGGTGGCTTTTTTTGTATACTGGGGCCTTATTTTTTTGGCTAGGGTTCGGGTGATAATGTACTGTAATTATGATAATAAGCCCACCAAAACCCTTCTCTAATTATTAAGGCCCCTACGTTATCCGGGCTTGTTGATTTTGGGGGTTGCGGGGTTTATAGGGTTTACGGCGGCGGGGGTGTAATGCTTGGGGTGCCTTCAATGATTTGTTGGGGCTATTGATTTGTTTTGGGGGTTGGGGGGTCAGGGCGGTAAGGAGTTTCATTTTGGTGTGTTCGGATTTCGGGGTTGTTGGGGCTGCTGGTGCTTTTTGATTCTTGGGGGGTTACAGGTTTTGGTGTAGTTGTTGATTTTGGGGGTGCGCTTTTGGTGATGTTTGGCTTTGGGTTGTTTATGGCGTTAGGCTTTTTGAGGTTGGTGGTTAGGGTTTGGGGCTTCTTGACCTGATACGAGCCTCTAGTTTCTCAGCTTCCTTCAACTGCCTTCGAATGTTCAAGGAAGTTCCGTGGCTGCAGCGGTAGGTCGCCTGCATAGATCTAGCGGCGTTAGCGGAGGAAGTCACTTTCAACTTTTCGGGAAACTATATTATAGCATAAATTATAGCCTCTATTTCATCTCAACGTTAACCCTTGTCTATGAACTTGGAAAATCCCACGAAACCTCAAACCGTGAACCCCAAACCCAAACTTCAAGCCGTAAGCACATCACCAAAACACGACTGCAGACGTGACATCTTGCTGCCAGGTTCCTCCACGGAGAGTCCTGGCCTCAGATGGGTACCCTTGCGACTAAGCAGTCTAAAAAAGAGGCCTTAATAACTACCTAGACTATTGTGGTGGGTTCCTTATTATAACTATATAGTGTAATCTACGCCAAAGCCCTATTCTAATTATTAAGGCCCCTACAGTGCCCGAAACACTTCAAGGCTCGACGACCTGAAATTCGACAGTCACATCGCACAGAGCTTCAATCCTTGCAGCTGAACCCCTAAACCTCAACTCCCGGCCCAGAACCCGACACCCACGAAGCCCGGATTTTCCTTAGCTCCAAGAGGAGAAAGTCGGTGCTGGATTTTGAAGGTAAAGCTCACAATGCCCGCACCCTCGAAGGGGCTGTCAATTTTTGGGACTCAGGGTCTAGATTCTTCAGGAAAACCCTCTTTGAAAACCTCGCACGTATCAAACACGCACATGCACACAGACGCCTCGAGGTGCGAGAAGAAGATCGAGCTGACGATCAAAGGCCGAAAGAGGTGCACCAGAGTTCAGGGCTCCTTGAAGGGACCCTTTTTCGGGTGTAGGATTTTGGTTGGGTACGGCCCTCACTCATTAATAGTTGAATAATGTTCATAATATAGATATAGTAGGACCTTAATAGTAGCCCGATTATAGACTCTTACTGTATGGGGGCCGTACCTACGATTTTTGTTTTTAAATTTCGGTGCTCCATGTCTCCAGATCTGGGCTCCTTTAACGGAGCCCTACAAGTAGAGAACTCTTGAGAGTGTTTCCGAGGCGCGGGATTTAGGGAAGGGTTGAAGATGTTTTTAGCTTTGGGGTTTAGGGTGTAGGCCCCATCTATCGGGGTGTAGAGTTTACAGGGTTTGAAAAGGCCGCAAGAGGTGCCCCGCAATGGCACTGTAGCATATAGTTATAGCTGTTATGATGAGCCTAATGCCCCAAACCCCAGGTAAGATTATCTAGGAGTTTTGTTCTTTAGAAAGAGTTCTGGCATCCTTATGCGCAGGGCCTTGGACTTAGGACCTAGGGTTTAGGGTCCATCGCACGTCGAATCTAAAATGGTTTGGGTTTTACTATTTCTAGGTCGTGGTTGAGGAGTTGTGATTTACTTGAGCCCCGGGTTTGAAGAGTTTGCAAGTTGCGGTACGGTTGTTTGTTGAACTTCGGGTTTCTCCTCATGTAGACTTCAGTTTAGGCCGACTTAGGCCCCTAGCCTTCCAAGACTGAGGAGCAGAGTTGACGTGGAGGTGCGGTGTACTTAACAGCCAAGGTCATTGCATCTATAACCCAGGTATAGGTGTTGTGAGATAAGCAGGTCAGAAGTCAAACTTCCTAAACCCTTACAGAACCCTTAAGTTGCGGAACCTTAAACCCAGATACCTCAGGTACGAAGCCACACAGATGCTTGGATCTCGGTCCGGCTTGAGGTTTTGTGTTGATACGCTTGGTGAGGCATAGCTTTCAGTGTTTGTCGCCTGATACTGCACTGTCTTGGATTCGGGGAGGGGGTTTCGATTATGCCATGATGCTCTAGGCTATAACCCTATGGGTCCAAGTACCTAATAATCTTATACTCTCCAAAATCCTAACCTACATGCATAACTACTATCCTAAAACCGAGTACCTAATTATTGGGTCCTTTGGACCCTTAGGGTAAGGGTTCTTCTAAACGCCTACACCACTGACTATACCCATCCAAACTTCAAGCCCCTACGACCTCAGAGCCCTGAGCACTAAGACCTTGAGCAAGCCTTTCATGAACCCTTGTACTATATGGGTGGTTCTCAAAATTAGGATTCCTTTTTGGGTCTTTATTATACTACGGCACCTAATATTTAGGGTACCCCAAAGGGGACCCTAATTTTGACAACTGCTCATAGAGAACCTTGATAGAGCACTTGCAGTCAAGAACCCCAGAACTCGTGGAGTTGCGGTCCCGGGGTTCCGGGGCTTAACGGAAGTTTAGGGTTTAGGGTTTAGGGTTTAGGGTTTAGGGTTTAGGGACCCTAAACACCGATGCGTAAGGCAGGGTTGAACGGGCATGGCCCAGGAGGCACAAGCATGTCGGCCATACACTGCTGAGGACCTGCAAAGTGGTACCCCGAACACGGATTCGTTTGGCATGTGGAGTCGGAAGCAGCGAAACCACTTGATGAGGTCTTTTGAGCTGCGTTTCGGGGCTCATGCGTGTCTGCAGGTTGCCTAGCCCTAGTGCCGTGAGCCCTAGAGGACCGTCACTGCTGTTTTGGGCTCAGCTTCTTTTTGGCTTGTGCTTGCTGTCACGGCCAGGATAACACGACATAGGCCACCGCAAACCCCAACCGAGCCCCAGCCGTCGATAAAAACACGACATCAACAGAGACTGAGAGCTGAATGCAGCCAGAGAAGCAAAAGCGGATCCACCAACAACTACGCCAAACGCCAAGCACAGAAGGTGTCAAAGCTGATTGGGTCGAGGGTTGAAGGATTTAGGATAAGGGTTCAGGGTCGAGTTTGCGAAGATTCGGGTGTTCATCCTTTCTGGTCATCAGAAGGAAACTACAGGTAGAAATAGTAGAATGTATTGCAGTGAAGTACAATATAAACACCCTTAGCTCTCTTCACCATCAAGCCCGCACCTACATAACCCCAGACCCCAAACCCTCAATCCACACTGCACCCCAAGCCAAGCCCATGTGTCAATCTCATGGTCTGCCGACTACATGCCGGCTTGGCGGCAGCCGGGTGCTAGGCATCGGCCGAGGGGAGTCTGGACTAAGGCAGAATTCCAATCGCAGGTTCCTTTTGCTGATCAGTATCAGAAGGACTCCTTGCACCTCTACCCAACAGCTTGTTGACCCTAAACCCTAAACCCTAAACCCTACCCAACAGCTTGTTGAATCCTTGTTGCAGTGGCAAAAAAAACAACGGAGTTGCTGCATGGAGACGCAATCTGGGCAAGTGCCTTGGGACCTGGTGTTTGAACTTAGGGGTACTTAGATTTTTTTAATTTTTGGTTATTATAGTCCCTAAGAAACAGCTAAAATTGTAATTTTTGCTAGGGTTATAAGTTCAGTATAGTGAAGATCGTTAGCCGTTTTGCTGCACCCAGGACAAGACACTTCATGAAGGTATCTGAAGCCTTATTCGAAACTTATAGTATAGCTCCTGGTCCATTCCTAAGTCAAAGCGTTTCGGTGTTCCTTGTCTGCTAGTTTATCCTGCTGCCTGAAAGCCCTGAGGCCGAAGTCCTGAACCTGAAGTGGCCATAAGCCCGTGACCCTACTCAATAAGTCAAAAAGCATGCCTGTTAAACCCTGAATCCTAGTTAAACCTTCACCGTCAAGTCTTCCATGAACCATTCTAAACCCCAGCAAGGGCCCTTCGACGGCACCTTTATGCTGTCTTCTAGCGCGGTCTGGTTATGAAGCCTGACTTCCCTCCGCGATCATCAAGAACCCACTGTTCAAGGGGATACTACCACAAAATGCAAATCCCAAACCCAACTGTAGCCCTAGCCATTGTTGAGGGTACAATGGCTGAAACCACTTAATTAAGGAATATTCCCGACAGTAAACCATGTTAGGGGTCCTACTGTACCATTCAGGAAGATTCCTTAATCAACCTCCTTGCAGGCCCTCCAGATGGGAAGTGCTTCCAGTCAGACGACCGGCTTCTGCGAGTGCAGGCACAGACGATCTGCAGGTAATATTGGGGCCTGAATAACTACCAATACTACTTTGGGGGGTTCCTTATTACAAGTGTAGTATACGCCCTTTTTGTTAATATTAATGCCCCTAAAGTAGTGGAGGCAACAGCAATTAGGAGTCTTAGAAAAGCGACTACGACCATGTCAATACCGTCGTCTTCGGCGGCGTCGTAGTAGTAATTCGTAGTAGTTACAGAAGGAGGAAGACGAGGAAGACGAGACGAGGAGGACCAGCAGCAGAAGCTCTGTGAGGTTCTTAATATCGGAGCCTTAATAACTACCTATACTATTTTGGAGGTTTCTCACTATAATATTTATTGTTCAATGGGCCCGAGAAGCCTTTTCTAATTATTATTAAGGCCCCTATATTACCTTCACAGTGTTCTACCCAAGCAGGGGAGGAGGGATATTTTTCAGGGATGGGGCGCAGTGGTGCAGGTGTTGCGCTCACGTCCTATTCTTTGCACAGGATTCGTGCGACCGCATCCCCAAGAAAGCCAGAGTTGCACGGAGTCATTTCTAGGTAGGCCTTTGGGACATGTTCTATTTTCCTTTTGTAGGCTTAGGAGGATACTATTTACGACAATTTTTCAGAGGCTTTAAAGGGCCAGCCAGGCCAAAGCAATCCCTAAACCCGAAACCATGAACCGAAGAGACCTCCCCAGCTGGTGCATATTTCCTCCTCAACGCGTCCAGCCTTACGACGGCCCGTGTTCGAGATGCTTGCGTGAACTCATTTAAATTCTATACCACCTATACCACATGTATACGGCCTACATCCTCAGTCCCCTCATCCCCAAAATCCAGCGCGTGAACCCAACCCCTACATGTGCTACACAGTGGTACAGCCCCGCCAGTAAGAGGTCTTGGGATTCCTAGGTAAAAACCAAACCGTTTTGACCGCCAGGGATGTCGTCAACAAGATCCTCACTGCCTCGGTCCCAGCTTACGAGGTTCAGGGTTTGGGGTTTAGGATTAACAGTTTAGTATTCGGCCTTGAGGGTTTGAGGTTGAGGGTTTGGGGTTTAGGGTTTGGGGGTTTAGGTTTGGGGGTTTGGGGTTCGGGGCTGATGTAGGCACAAAGGACTTGGTGACTAGGGCTGTAGGATTTGTATTCCGCGGCTTGGGCCAAAGGTCATTATGAAGGTCTTTTGTGTACTGTGACCCTAAGGGTTCACGTGCGTTTCATGTGCATTGCCATAACATACTCCCCAACCCCAAGCACTAACTTACAACAATTATACTCTGCTGAACCCAAGCACCGAATGACAGGGTAGCCCTGCAGACCCTTCCTTGTTCGGGTTCCTGAATATAAGTTTAGTACATTCAATACACCCTTTTGGTTGGCTAGGCCCTAATCCCAAGCCCGTGTTCGACGTCGCAATGCCAAATCCCACAAAATGTCCCTTGCACAATCTGTCATTGATACTTATTCAGGACCCCTCATATTACCGACTATCTTGAAGCTTGCGCCTTTTTATGTCGCAGTGTGTGTGTGTGTGGGGCTTCAAACCTGGGCATAGATGTGTTGTTGACTTTGAAGAACTTGGGAAGCGACGTTTAGTTGAGTATATGGTTCGGCTATGCTTCTGCAACACTGTCAGTGACCCTGGCACTTCATGCATAACAGAAGGCCGATGCCACCGATGATTGCGCGATGCAGATGGTGGCTGGTACAGACGAGATGGAGGCTTAGGGAACTCGGGTTGGAGGGTTTTCATTGTTTTTGGTGTTTTAGGGTCTTAGGGTTAAGGGTTTAGTGCTTCAGGCTTTTCGAAACTCAATCAAGAAGGGAGCAACCATAATATGCTGTACTTGAGCTCGGTTCTCGAATGCACATTGAGCTTGGCACAGTCTCATGCCTCGCAATAGGTACTATCTGAAAGTTTGACCGTTCGAACTCCTGCTTTGGTCTGAGGGAAGTAAGGAACAAGCCGATTTGTGTCGATGCCTAACCCTACAGTAGAAGCCAGAAAGTTGGAATATCATTATCGTAACCCCTTTAAGGTAAATTATAGGGGATCCTACCATTGATCCATATTCCAACTTTCTGGAGTTCCCTTTACCTTGGCCTTACGTCTAGATATTTCTCTCGGTTCCCTTGGTCCCATGAGTTCGAAGGATCCAAATCAGACGATTTGTGATCCCGAAGAGCCAAGACTAGACTTGAGGGTGCGGGTAAGCCATGGCAAACCTCTAATATCCAGACCCGGACTTCGATCATTTCCGGCAAACCAACAGTTGCAGAAGCTATTGTCTCCGCAGCAGAACGCTAAACCTGCGTCCGGAAAGTCAACACCCCCTGCACCCCTTTTGTACCCCACTGCGGTGCACTCAAGTGTTTGTCATGTGGGAACTCTGGTGGACAATCTGGCTCAGTGGACCCTGCGAGACCTTGACGGGCCAGCTTTCACGGTACCTGGCAGTAAGCCGAAGGGGGCCTCTGCGAATTCATGCGGGAACCAGCGCGACATGCTGCTGGGTCTTCAAGCCTCCATGTTGAAGAACTGTGGATATCGTGTGGCGGCAATCTTTAGCAGAGCAGGGCAGAATCATTAGCATCGATGGCGACGATCACGGTGTTGCGGGAACTGCGGGTCCTCATTTCCACCGACTGGGCTGATTTCGGAACCCTGGCAGTTTCAGCCGGGAGCCGGCAACACAGGGCTCATGGTTCTACTCCAGGCGTACAGAGGGCATCCTTTAACACTTGCCCTAAGCACCCAGTTGCAGACTTCGTTGCGTTTTGCGGTTGTGTTTGGTACGGCTTATGGGGGTGCTAAAGGAGCAGTAGCCTTCCCAAAAACTTGCTGGGCTCTTCGGCTAATTGTATTTTATAGCCCCAAAAACTCAACTCTCTATATGGGGCTCCAGACTTACTTTTTCCTGTAACTAGCAACTCGCAAAGTCAAAACCTGGCAATCCTAGCCCTAAGCCATCCTAAACCTTGAACCCCTAAACCACTAAACCCTAAACCTCGACTGTGAATGGTCTCGAAGAACCGTTTAATACAGGGGCCTCAATAGTTACACGTACGAGATTGCGGGCGGGGGGGGGGTGCATATTTATAGTTATAATAATCAAATTTTGATTTTAATGGGCACAAAACCCTATTCTACTTATTTATTCAGGTTCATGTATTAGAACTCATGAAACGTGGTTGCAGAAGATGTCTACAAATTCCTAAACCTAATGCCAAGTCTCGACAATCGGTCAGGCCAAGCCGTTCGACGATGTTTGCAAGGCTGGTAGGGGAGATTTAGGGTGTTGAACATTCTTGGGTTAACACGGCATTTATAGGATTCCTTTTAGGCTGGGATTGGGCGCCACTGCATTGCAACCCCTAACTTACCGGTGCTTCAGAGCGGAGAGCCCAATCAAGCGGCTGGAACAGACATGTTCGTGCTATATCAACCGGATGTCAAATGAGACCTAAACCTCCAAAGCCTCAGACCTGAATGTTAGACCCGAAATCTTATTTACGTGCAAGGAATTCTGCCACAAGGAGCCTAAATAGTTAGCGATACTTTTCCCTAGGATTCCTTTCTCTCATGAACAATACAAATAGGCAGAACATACATATGTCAGACAGTACATAGTATAGTCATCTACATCCTCAAAAATAGTTTCTCAAAACCCTGGTCCAGCTATTTCTGAATTTACAAATTGTATCCTGGGCATTGTACCACCTTATGTTAAAGCAAAAAAAGCATGTCCAGCCAGGCCGTGAAGGTCGCGCCCACGACCGCCACAGCTCCTCCAAAGAAGCAAAAGATCCAGGTGCTAGGGTTTAGGGCTTACCTGAAGCCCCCGACCCTATATTTTGAAGTCCTAAACATGATGTCCTCAGATTCCTTAAGTGCGCTTTTGAAACGGTTCTGAACCCTCAACCACCCTGAACACAAAAATGAACAAGAAACGGAAAGGTCAACCTACAAAAGGACGCAATAAAGCAAGCACGTACCAGCCAACCGTCCCACGCATCCGCCCACCTACCAACCAACGAACAAGCAACACAACAACCATACAAGCAAACGCAAATCAAACACGGTGATAGTTGTCGTCCTAGTAACAGTAGCAGGAGGAGTGGGAGTAACAATCGTATTTATGATGACGACAATACAGCGCTGGAGTACTAATATAGGGACCTACAGTGCCACCAGGCTCGTTCGACTCGCTTCTCTGACCGACAGATGCCCGTGACCTAAAAAAGTTACCAATACTATTTTGGGGATTCCTTATACTATAGGTATAGTATAATGGGCCCCAAAACCCTATTAGAATTGTTAAGGCCCCCATGTGACCTGTGGAGGCGCGGCCGAAGGTCGAGGATAAAGACGGCGGCAGCTACCAAGGGGAATGGCTCGGCGACTGGGAATCAGAGCCCTACCTATATATATATATATATATATATATATATATATATATACATATATATATATAAAGGGTGGTTTTGAAGCACCGTAGGATTTCAGAAGGGGTTGGTAGGGTGCTAGAAGGGTTTTGCAGTATTCTGTGTTTGCAGGCTGTGGCTTCTTTTGACCTCGAAGGGCTTCGAAGTGTTGAGTTAAGTTAGGGTGGAGGGCGTTTTGCGGTTTAGGGTTCCAATCTTCATGTGTGTAAGGCTTTTCGGCCGGGGGGTCTGGGATTGCCAAGTGCCTAGGGTTTTAGAGGTCTGGACAAAGGAGATTCCTTACAAGGGGCCCCCACCCCGAAATAGTGACTATAAGGATTATATTCGGTCCCTATTATATTCCTATTATACCACTAATCCTCAAACCTCGTTTTTTTGAGTTATTCGTAGAGTTTGTAGAGTTCCTTTTTTTCTTAGGGGTACTTAGAAATAATGTTTAACATTTGGTTATTATAATCCCTCAGAAACAGATAAAATTATAATTGTTGCTAGGGTTCTAAGTTCAGTATAGTTTGGGGTTACAAGTGCGAGCACTAAAGCCCCCAAAGGCCGAAGTAGCTGTCATGTCTCCCGGACTTATGATCTGAGGGTACAGCTTATAGTCTATATGGTACAGCTTATAGTCTATAGGGTTTAGGGTTTGGGGTTTAGGGTTTAGGGTTTTGGGTTTAGGTATAGTATTTGGGGCGATAAGATGAGATACCTATTGCTAGCTGTTCAGACCTCTTCCTTCCACAACAGCTTCACAGCTGCTAAGCCCTCGAGGCCATCAACTCTCCGAACCTGAAACCTTGCAAGCACCGAACCGACAGTTCCCGAATTCTATGCCCTGACACCGAACCCTACACCCTCGGCCAATTTCGGCACAGAGACGCCTCGACAAGAACTGAGGCTGCTGGCGGCATGGCAAAGGCATCCAGGCAAGTTCAGGGCTCCGGCTGGGGGATAATATATGGGAGTTGCCGAAAATTAGGGCTACCTATTTTGGGGGCCTATAATAAGGATCCTACTATTAGGGTACTATATTAGGGTCCCCTATTTTCGGAAACTCCCATATTGGAAGACTAGGGTTGAGGGTTCAGGATGGACCGGGCCTTTTTCTGTTTCGGAAGAAGGGGGAATGCAGGGTTTAGGTTAAGGCCAGCTGCTGCAGCGCCAGCAGGTCTGGTCGGACGGTGCGAGATACGTGGGGCAATGGTACCACGACGTGCCGCACGGCCACTGTTCTGAAATCCTTTAGCAGTGAGTTCTCGTCTTATTTGTTCTTCACAGTGTTTGTGAGGGTGCTGGGTGGTTTGTTTCATTTCACGGCATTAATTTTCACTCCAATCTCGGGACTGTAGCGTTCAGGGTTAGGCGAAGCTTCCATTCCTGCAGGTTGACCCGCAATCTATAAGCCCTACACCAACCTACCGCAGAACCGATTTTTCTTCGAGCCCGAACTTCAATCTCTTGAGGTTTGCAGTGAACATCCTGCCACAGGGCAGGTGCTGCTAGGCGAACCAGATTATGGAACTCACAATGATGGGCGGTGTCGTTCATGGCATAGTTCAGTTCCAGAAGTGCATATGGATCCGCTTAGTAGGTTCCATTCCCGAACCGACCAAGCCCTAAACTCCAATCCCGCCCCCTCAAGCATAGGCCGCTAAACCCTGAAAGCCTAAACCCCTAAGTAGACCTATGTAGAATCCGTGCAATATCCTAAAGGTCAGCCCTAAATCCCATGAAGCCCTGCCACTGCATCTGAAACCCTTGCACAAGTGCAATATATTCCTGCACGCCCACAACTGCTCTGAATCACCTCCGGATCCCAGGACAGGGACGCCTTGAGCAGGCCGGGCCTGTTTGTTTGTCACTTAGGGTTTAGGGGTTCAGGGTTTGCAGGGTTTAGGGTTCAGGTTTAGGGTCAAGGGTTTATTACAGTTCTTACTCTTGAAAACGGTTTTCAACGGTTTGCGCTTGCAAGGTTTGTTATTGGGTTGAGAACAGCCTCTTCTGGAGTTGTATAGGGCCTTTGGCTCTGTAGTAGGCTCTAGAGAGCTTTGAATGCGCTTGGAAGGGGTTTTGTCGGGATTGGTAAGAGTTTTACATGGGTCTGGAGGGCTCTATTCTACCGGCTTGATAACGGTCTTGGGGTTTTGCAGGGGCTTGGTTGGAGTTCATGTTGCGGTGCAGGCGCTTTTAGGGTTTTGCAGGGGTTGTGAAGCGTTTTATTTATTTACAGGGTTTCACATGGCCACACGGCCCTGCACCTGTTTTGAGCCCTACGATAGGTAACTGTTAAGGTTCAGGGTTCAGGGCATAGAGAGTTGTTTGAGTGTTTTGCTAGAGTCCATTCACCCTTCGACTAAACCCTAAACCCCAAAACCCTAAACCCCTAAACCCTAAACCCCTAAACCCCTAAACCCGTGCTACAGGGCGATGTCTACGACGGCCAGTGGAAGAACGGGAAGGCACCAGCGAATCGAATCTCAAAGTTTGGGTTGTTGCTTTTCGTGTGTTATAGGGCTTGGGGCTGCGTGGGCTGAGCCCCAGGTCCCGGAGGGGACATCCCAGACTGACTAGCCCTACTTGAACCTACTACCTGTAGGACCATTCTTTTGGGGAGCGGATAGGGTCTTCGGTCTTCAACTGAGTATGGGCCCTAGTTCAGCGATGGGGACATAGTAAGCAAAAGGGAAGGCCGAGAACCCTGAAAACCTGAAGTCAAAGACACTTTGCCTTAGAAGCTGCCCCCACCCTGTAATAGTGACTATAAGGATTATATGAGGGCCCGGTTATATTCCTATTATAGCACTATTACAGGGTGGGGGCCCCTTCTAACTTTGCCTGCCATCACCAACCTTTTTTGCAATGCCCCTGGGCCCCCTTCTGGGCATCTTTAGATCCTACAAGCCGGCTGCCAGCTCTTGTGGATTCCAGTTTCGTTGCACAGGGAGGTCAGTATTCCATAATTCAGAGGGTCCAAGTACTCCCTATTATAGGACTTTAGCGTTTTTGTAGGTACCAAAAACCATAAATAGGAACTACTTGGACCCTTAAGTAATTCAACTCACACTTGTGAGCAGTACTTGTAGTTGAGGGGTGTCGGGCGCTCGAGATAGTAATTAATCAATCTAGTCTCGGTTCGGGAGGGTCCTCGTTCAAGGCCCACGGACGTGGAGTGCACGTCTCCACCAACCATGTGAGGCGGGCCGTTGCCATACTGGATTGAAGCTTCAAAGTTTCGAGCTTTGGTTCAGGGTTGAGGGTTTAGGGTTAGGGTTTAGGATATGTGGAGATGGTCATGGGTCATGCGTTTAAGAACTTGGACTTGCCGTTTACGAAGACCCAGGCTGCCGCTGCCTTAGCCCTCCAAGCATGTGTGCCGCTCTTTAGCATCGCCGAGGTACGAGGGCGAATGGCGGAACGACTACAAGCATGGTCAGGGGGAGGAGCGAGCTTAAGCTCTTGTCGGGCCTGCTTGTGGGAGTAGCGTGGATTTCCGCGCGATCCCTAGAGCCTCGAGCATCGTGCATCTCGGCCTCGGTCCCAACAACCTCGGACGGAGTAGAGCCCAGAAAGACAAAAAGACCCCGACCCTAAACCCTAAACCTAAGATCCCTAACCCCAAACCCCAAAGCGTACCCACAAGCCGAATGAGTACCGAGGATTGAGTCACTACACTAGGCCTCTATAGTAATCGCATAACTACCCTCCTAGAGGGCCCCAATCCTCGTTTTAAGCAATAATGTAGGGGCCTTACTAATTAGAATAGGTTTTTTTTTTTGGGGGGGGGTCCTTATTATGAGTATAGTATCATCTACCCCCAAACCCTATTCTAATCATTAGTTAGCGAGGCCCCTATATTACGGCCGCTCCGAAGCCAAAGCCCTGCAGCTGCCGGCCTTGTGACAAAGAGAGGAGTTCTACTCTGATGGAGGCCGCTACACCGGAGGCAGATCATCAGTCGGCTTTATGGTTTTAGGGGTTTAGGGTAACATAGAATCCGTCCTGCTTATAATTGTGAGCTTATATGCACCGCAAAACCTGTTGCAATGAGTAAGGCCCTTGCAATTACCCCCTTGTCGCTTTGGGATGTTGTGTTTTTGAGTTTGGGGTTTGTGGTGTCGGATGAGCAATGCAAGGCTCAGGGTTTAAGGTTTTGGAGGTTGGAGAAAGGTTGGAGATCGTGTGCTTCACGACCGAACCATGCAACGTTTAGTTTGGTTCGTTGTAGACAGTCGTTTTGTTCGAAGAGGGTATTTGGCCCCATCCATGTTGGTTGCTGATGCTGTGAAGTTCATGATTTGAGGGTTTTGGGGGGTTTAGGGGTTCAGGATTTAGGGTTGAGTGCTTCGGGGGTTTAGAGTTTAAAAGTTTAGGGTTGGGCAATTAAAGGCGGGTTGTCACGGGTTGTTGGTGTTTCTAGTGCTAGGCCTATCCCAATGAAATTATCGAAATTCTTTTCAAGTCAATATAGCCTGAGGATAGGGCCGGGGGTTTGGGTCTAGAGTTTCCGACCCTACGTTAATGGCCTCAGGGCGTTACAGGCGTCACAGGGTTTGGGGCTCGGCTTGGTTGAGGATGCAGGGATGGATCCTTCTGCTGGCCGCTCATCCTTCATGAAACCATCCTTGCTGTCAAGCTTCAATCTGGCCACAAGAGCAGTGCCCACAAAACTCCCAGTCTTTTCATTGCACTTTGTGCTGATTGGATTTTGTTTCCTGATTAATTATACGGGTGATCCTGCCCATCGACTTGCCTAACACAACAGGTATCGGGAAGGAGCCACACTCGTACTCCATCAAGCCCTTTCCGACAGCTGCTGTTGAGTTTCAAGCCCCGAACTGTTTCAGCTTCAATGTCACATCAGAGCAAACATAAACCCGTCGGACGGCCTGCAACATGTCGACTACAGTGGAGGTCGGACTGCTCAGTGGCAAAACGACTACTGTGCAAGTGGATTTGGATGAAGCTGTGAATATGCTGAGACAACGGGCACAGGTCGCACTCGGAGTCGGGAGAGGGCTCCTGCTAGCCTCCTGCGGAGACATTCTGGATGGATCTGCAACCATTCGCGAAGCCAGAATTCAGAATGGTGATTTGTTGATGCTTCAGCTGAAACGACTACAAGTCCAAGGAGCATATGATTCTTTTGCTGCAGTTCTTGGCGATGGATCTGCGGTGAGCTGGGGTAACACTACCGCTGGTGGCGACAGTCGTGCTGTGCAGGGTCTGCTGAAGAACGTGCAGCAGCTCAAGGCCTCTGACGGTGCGTTTGCTGCCATTCTTGACGATGGATCCGTTGTGTCCTGGGGTGGTGCGTTTGCTGCCATTCTTGGAGATGGTTCCGTTGTGACTTGGGGTGGTTCTGTTACAGGTGGAGACTCTGATGCTGTGCAGCATCAGCTGAAGAATGTTCTGCAGATCCAAGCTTCTAGAGGTGCTTTTGCTGCCATTCTGAGTGATGGATCCGTTGTGACTTGGGGGAAAGATATCAGCGGTGGCGACAGCAGTGCAGTGCAGGGTCAGCTGCAGAATGTGCAGCAGGTCCAATCCTCTTTCGGCGCTTTTGCTGCCATTCTTGGCGATGGATCGGTTGTGACCTGGGGTAGAGACATCGGTGGCGGCGATAGCAGTGCTGTGCAGGGTCAGCTGCAGAATGTGCAGCAGATTCAAGCCTCTTTCGGCGCTTTTGCTGCCATTCTGGAAGAAGGATCCGTCGTTACCTGGGGCAAGCCTGAGTATGGTGGTGACAGCAGCGCTGTGCAGGGCCAGCTGAAGACAGTGCAGCAGATCCAAGCCTCTGAGTGCGCATTTGCCGCCATTCTTGACGATGGATCGGTTGTGACCTGGGGTGATGCTGAGTGTGGTGGCGACAGCAGGGCTGTGCAGGGTCAGCTGAAAACTGTGCAGCAGATCCAAGCCTCTGGCTATGCTTTTGCTGCCATTCTTGACGATGGATCCGTTGTGTCCTGGGGTGATGCTGACGTCGGTGGCGACAGCAGTGCTGTGCAGGGTCAGCTGCAGAATGTGCAGCAGATTCAAGCCTCTTTCGGCGCTTTTGCTGCCATTCTGAGTGACGAATCGGTTGTGACGTGGGGTGATGCTGGGCATGGTGGTGACAGCAGTGCAGTGCAGAATCAGCTGAAGAATGTGCAGCAGATCCAAGCCACACACCGTGCTTTTGCTGCCATTCTGAGCGACGAATCGGTTGTGGCCTGGGGTGATGCTGGGTATGGTGGTGACAGCAGTGCAGTGCAGAATCAGCTGAAGACTGTGCAGCAGATCCAAGCCACACACCGTGCTTTTGCTGCCCTTCTGAGCGACGAAACGGTTGTGGCCTGGGGTGATGCTGAGTACGGTGGCGACAGCAATGCCGTTGAGTATGAGCTGGCGACTTTGTAGCAGCCGCTTCGGAATCTTCAGGGCCCGGCTAACAGAACACAGCAAAGGAATTTGCCAAGACACTGCCGAAGTCCTGGTCACAGTACCCCGACAACACCACTTCATGGCTTTTGGCCTGCTTGTTGATATAGGTGTTGTATTCATCAGCGTTTTGGTGAGCAAAAGTGACAGTAGAAAGCAAACTACCCCCCCAAATAATAAAATAACTTTCTGAGCTTTTTTGGGGGAAGGGGTGGTGGTGTGGGTGGTGTGGGGGGGGGGGCCTTTAACTTAAGGGGGAAGGGCTCATGTCGGCCCTCGTCTTGGTACAGCATACTGAGCGAGACTCCCTCTTGGAGATATCTGAGGTAGGTACATTGATGTAGGGGGTTGTCTTTGGAGATACTAGACCCTAAATCCTAAACCCAACAAACCCAACAAAATCTGAAGCGTAGGTCAAGACAAGACTGTTGAAACTGGAGCCTCCCCGAGCCCGGGTCAGAATCCTAATACCTTCTGGATCCGAAACCTAGCATCCACATCTTATTGGGTAAGGTTTACTTTCGGATGTAACGTTTACGGGTAAGGGCTTAGCATGGTGATGGTGATTGTTGCAATGCGTATGATAAGAACATAAGTCTTATTATTATTATTGAGATGATGCCTGTTATTATGGGTATCATAGCATTAAAGTAAAAGCCAGAAAGTTGGAATATGATTATCCTAAGCCCTTTATGGTAAATTATAAGGTATCCTACCCTGAAACCATATTCCAACTTGCTGGAGTTCCCTTTACCTGGTTGAGGGTTGTTTTTGCAGCCTCGCTCCTTGCTTTGGAGCTTCGGTCAGGCTGGGCCGATGGGAAGAAGTCCGGGGAGGGCACTTTCCGCTGGCTGGACGGCTCTGAGTACAAGGCCCCCAAGTGGGAGTTTCCGAAAATTAGAGGGACCTTATTTACGATAATATATTAGGGTCCCCTAGTTACAATTCCAAGTGCCCTCTTTTTGCTTGGCAAAGTTGTCGTAGTAGCTCTGGTGGTTTATAGAGCTGCTTATGCTAAGATAAGCCGGCTCTGGTTGTTTATCGCAACGTCTTACGCAGGTTCATTGGGGTCTTACGAGGTTTGCCTTGTGAGGGAGTCGGAGTTCGGTCGGCTTCCTTTTACTGTAGTGTTTTCTCAATAAAGAGCTTTCGGGGCTTGGATTTTGAGGATCCAGGCATTGGTGTATACCTTACACCACCAACCCCGATTTTGTTGCATGACACCGAACACATCCCTATTCAACAGCGCGGTAAGACCCAGGAGCCCACAACAAAAGCAGGCCAGTATGGTAATTTAGGGTTCAGGTATATAGCAGCTTAATGGAGGGTTTAGGTTTGAGGGCTATCTTTGATGCAGGGTTTTGGGGATTGTGGAGTTAAGGCTCTGCCCCTGCCTTCGAAACTGGGTGTAGGATTCTCGACAGGGTTGCCATGTCCTTGTTAGAGATCCTCGCCCCAAGAGCAGACACGACTAAGAAAGGCTGGGACATAAACTTGAACATGCCCCGTGCCTAAACTCGACCATGCAAATCCCGAAGCCCTTCATCCTTTTCATCCTCCTCCTGCAGCCCCAGGTAAGAATTACCTATACTATTTTTTTGGGGGGTGTTCTTATTATAGTTTTAGTACAACGGGCCCCGAAACCCTATTCTAATTATTGTGGCCCCTACATTAGCGCGTTCAACTTCAAAAGCAAAGAACCTAAAGTTGTAGTCAGTACGACTGAGCCTGGAATCAGAAAACGTAGAACACCTATAGATCAACTACTGGAATCCTGAAGATAGAACTCTAAACCTCACTTGTTTAGTATGGTGTATCCCTGAACCCTCGAACCCTCCTCCCTCCAAATCTAAACACTTATAATAAATAAACCCCAAAACCCTAAATCCCGTAAACCCTAAAATCCTAAACCCGTAACCTAAGTCCCATAGACGTCCCTTAAAAAAACCAAACCCCAACACTCTCTTCAGCGCAGGGCGCCTTCCATGACGACCTCTTCCATGGCCAGGGAAAGCAGAGATGGGCCGATGGTCGCGTCTACGAGGGCCAGTGGGAGGCCACCCGAGAAAGTTCTCAGGGTTCCTTAAAAGGTTTTAGGGTTTAGGGTTCCCAAAGGGTTGTTTTAGGGTTTAGGGTTTCTCGGAGTTTAGGGCTTGGGGTGTAGGGTATAGGGTCTTAAGGTTCAGGGTTCATTGTTGTAAGAGTTCCGTTAAGGGGTGGTGTAAGGGATCGCGTCCTGGGTAGTCTAAGAAGTGATGCAATACGAGTGCCTCAAAGGAGCACTACGAGGCTGTTTTTTCCAGAAGGGTAACCTGTGAGCGTGCCGTGGGGATGTAAGACCAGGTTTCAAGGTGTGTTACTACTGAGGAGTTTAGAGGTTCAAGTCTCCCTTAGAATCCTAGAAACCTGAAACCCCCAAGCCTCCCAAACCCGAGAACCCTGTCAGCTCTGCAAGAGACCCTCCCAAGCATCCCAATAGCATCCTGCACCGCCCTTGGCCCTAACATCTTGGGACCCTAAACCCTAAAACCCTATAGACCCTAAAACCCCAAGACCCAAAGCCCTAAATTAAGGAATATACCTTAAATTATAGTAGGATCCTTAATATGATTTAAGGTCTATTCCTTAATTGAGGGGTCTTGGAATGTCTGGGAACCCCAAGACCCAAAGCCCTAAACCCCCAACCCTAAACCCTGCCGAAGGCCAATCAGATACATGGTTCCGGCCGCTTCAAATGGCCGGATGGCCGTACCTACCAGGGCCAATACGTCCAGGGACTGAGGCTCAAGAGTGGAGGGTATGGTACGTTTCTGTAGCATCCATAGAGGTTCATAAGGAGTTCGTGAAAGTGTCGGAGATTACGAGTCGGGGCCCCGAGGTTTTTAAACCGGATTGCGAAGGACTTTCTGGGTTAGGCCTTAAAAAATCAGAAATGTAGGGACATGGTAGGGTTCTGTTGGGGTGTAGAGTTTGGGGTACGAGAGGGTGGGGATACTGTAGATTCCGGAGTTTTGGAACTAGGGCTCAGAGTGTGGGGTTTAAGGGTTTCGGGCTGAAGCCCAGCGTGTTGAAGGGTCCAGGTGTTTACGTGGCATTAGTCCCTGTCCCTTAATATTAAATGGGACGGGGGGGGACACTATTAAAAACTCGGAAAGTGTTTTTGTTATTGGGGCATGTGTTTATCTCTACTGTCACTTTTGACGGGTCTTGCTCTTGCTGCGGCATGGGCTTTTGCTCATGCTATTGCTACGTATGTTGCTCTCGCTCCTGTGCCTGCTCTTGCTCTTGCTCCTGCTCTTCCTGCTGGTTTTGCTCTTGCTCTTGCTTCTGCTCTTACTGTATTAATAGTTGTTGGGCTTCGGGTAAGCCTGCTTGAAACTTGCTGTTGTGATCCGACCGTAGATCCGTCACATCCTCCGTAGCTGAGTTGAGGGCTTGGGGCATTTTCCAGGGGTGGGGGTTCTTTTTGGGTATTTTTTATGTTTTTTTTTGTATTTTTACGGTTTTCGGTTCGGCGGACGCAGGACTCAGTCAGTCAGTCAGTCAACGAGCCAACCGAGCGGTCAGTCAGTCAGTCAGTCAGTCGGTCAATCAGCCAACCAAGCGGTCAGTCAGTCAGTCGGTCAGCCAACCGCGCGGTCAGTCAGTCAGCCAACCAGCCAGTCAGTCAGCCAGTCAGTCCGTCTGCCAACCGCGCGGTCAGTCAGCCAGTCAGTCCGTCTGCCAACCGCGCGGTCAGTCAGTCAGTCAGTCGGTCGTCCAGCGGTGAGTCGGTCAGCCAGTCAGCCCGTCTGCCAACCGAGACGTCAATCGGTCTGGCTGTCTGTCAATCAGTCTGTCAGTCCGTCAATCCTCTAGTCAGTCGGGCTGTTGATCGGGCGTTGCACCTGCAACCACTGAGCATGGGGTACCGGAGACTCGGAATCGCCAAAAGAGGGGGCGCGTTTAAGATATATGATGAACCGGAACCGCCGAATTCAGGGGGCGTGTTTAAGATAGATGACGAGCCGTTATCGCCAAAAGAGGGGGCGTGTTAAAGACATATGTTGAAACGGAGCCGCCAAAAGAGGGGGCGTGTTCAAGATATTTAGTGAACGGTTATCGCCGAATGCGGGCGCGTGTTAAAGATATCTGGTGAACCGGAATCGCCGAATGAGGGAGCGTGTTGAAGATATGATGAGCCGTTATCACCAAAAGAGGGGCCGTGTTTAAGATATATGGTGAACGGTCATCGCCGACTGAGGGGCCGTATTAAAGATATATGGTTAACCGGAAAGGGGTGTGTCTAAGATTTTTTGCATAATCTATGGTGAACCGGAATCGACGAATGAGCGCGCTTGCTTAGGATGTGATGAACCGCCGGTCCTCTTGCAAGTGTGTTTGCAATTGGGGGGGGGGGGTGCGCCGCCCTCCAGACCCCCCCCACCGCTTTCTCAAGCCCTGTTTGTCTATAGCGAACTTCGTACCATCAAGAACGCTATGGCCATTTGCGATGGTCGCAGCAAGTCAAGCGCATAACTAATTATTCTGAGACTTTTCAAATCCCGTCCCAGGGGCCCAACCCCCCTCGCTGTATATTTGGGCCACGCAAGCTAAGATATATGGTGAACGGTTTTCGCCGTATATGGTGAAGCGAAATTGCCAAACAAGGGGTGTGCTTCATATATATATATATATATATACATACATATGGTGAACCGGAATCGCCAAATGAGCGGGGTTGTTTAACACATATCATGAACCGTTATCGCCAAATGAGGGGGCGCGTTTATCATGTATGTTGAACCGTTATCGCCAATTAAGCAGCCTGGAAAAGCGTACAAGTTTTATAGAAGCTAAGCCCGAAAACCAGAAAAAATGCCAAACAAAAAACCCAAAGCCAGGCTCTTTCTCGTGACTCTTGCAGGTTTTTTAGCATTCCAGCACCGAAAACCATTAAAACATGCAAAAAAAAACATAAAAAATACCAAAAAAAAGCTTGGACCCATTTTCCAGTGACCCTGCCTGAGCCTCAGACCCTATAAACGCTGATCAAGTTCACAAGTCCCTTGTTTAGGAATCTATGGAACTGGGGCCTTTGAAAGACTTATTTGCCCACCATAAATCCCAATGTTTGGGTTGAGGGTGTGGGGATTTGGGTCTAGGGATACTCCCTAAACAAAGTACCTTAGAGACCCCCAAGGCCCAAGGCCTACCCGGCCCCACCCACCCTCGCCCACCCTCCGAAACAATGTTGCAGGCACGGCCAGGGTAAGTTCAAGTGGACCAATGGCCGAGTCTACGAAGGCCCTCATTGAAGGTTGAGGGCTCCCAGACCTTCCAAAACCCCTTAATTAAGGAATATACCTTAAATTATAGTAGGATCCTTAATATGATTTAAGGTATATTCCTTAATTAAGGGATTTTGGAAGGTCTGGGCTGTTTGATTGACATCTCGGCCCAAGGCCCATCTCTGGAGGCGTAGGGGGATTGTAATTTTCAATCCACATCAAGCGTAGACTCAGGAACGGAGAAGCCATGTAGATGTACGTATAAGCACTGGGGTGGGACTTCCCGATTCCCGTTATGGGGAGGCTTGGAAAAATCAAGACTAGCGTAACTGCAAAGAACCGCATGCGTTAAATTTACTCCTAGCTTGTACTGCCGGGGCTTGCTGAACCTGAAATTTTAGGGTTTAGGGTTTAGACAGAAGTTGAGTCGAACTTTTAATAGAACAGGTGGGGTCTCGATGTAGGCTGAGGCGCCAAGCCCCAAGCCCTCCAACACTTCGCGGTCGGGTCCGTTTTGGGGTTCTTGCTTACCCAAAGGCTCCATGTAGCCATATAGCATACACTTAGGCCTTAAAGTACCTATATAGGAACCCCTTTAAGGCCTAAGTATCTACTATATGGCTACATGGAGCCTTAGGGTTACATACTACTGTTGAAGCGAGCCCGGTTTTCTGAAGAACGCGCAACCCAGAGCCCCAACAGTCAACATCCCGAGTCCTCGACCCGTAACCTTGAACTCTGAACCATGAACCGTACCCTAGAAGTACTCTGCAGCCAAAGCCCTCAACCTTACACCCTGGACTGGCTTGTTCAACAGGAGAACTTGGAACTTTTTGATGTGCATGCGCTGCTCTTGATAAATTTTAGAGCTTGCTTCTGCATGTTAATTGAAGTTGTTCCCTGTGTCCTTGCAGGTGAGTGGCAGCTCGGCAAACAGCATGGCCAAGGACAGCTCCAGTTGCGCATAGGGACAACAGTCAGAAGAAGGTCTCAGGAGGAGCAGCAGGACAATGGCAGTGGTGGTCGTAGCAATGACAGTGGTAGCAGTAGCAGTAGCAAGAGGAGTAGTAGTAGTAGTAGTAGTAGTAGTAGTAGTAGTAGTAGTCGTGGTGGTGGTGGTGGTGGTGGTGGTGGTGGTGGTGGTGGTGGTAGTGGTAGTGGTAGTGGTAGAAGCCAGAAAGTTGGAACATCAGTATCCTCATCTCCTTAATAGCTACAAGTATATAAGGGATCCTAGCACTAATCCTCCTAAAGCCATGTTCCAACTTTCCGGTTTCTACTATAATGGTAGTGGTAGTAGTAATTGTTGATATTGGTAGTCTGGTAGTCCTGGTGTTGGTGTGGATGTGGGTGTGGGCGTGGGTGTTGCCGTGGCTGTGGGTGTTGGTGTTGGTTTTGGTACTGTTGGTGGTGGTGGTGGTGGCAGTGGCGTTGGTGGCAGTGGCGGTGGTGGTGGTGCCTGCTGTTGTAATTGGTAATCCCAGCGGAAGCAGCACTCTTGTGTCTCGTCTTTAGATCCTCTCCGAGTTGCAGTTCCACGCAGGAGCCCTCACCGTGGAGGGGAAGGTCACCAAAGGTGAGTGGAAGTCTGGCGTACGAGTAAACTAAGAGCCGCGGTTTCGACACAAAGTGAGCTTGCATAGCCAGGTTTCGACTTACCGACATCGGTCAAGATAGGAACTTTTGCCCCATCTGGTGATTCCAAGAGCATGAATTTCCGCACAAACCTTGAGTTTTAGAGGGAATTGGATGAGAGGTGATAGTGACTTCTGGCATGATCCAAGAACGGATAATGATCCAAGAACGGATAGACCGAGTCGGCAACCGTGGCTCAATTCAAAGTAGTCTAGGCCAATGCAAAAGGCATGTCCTGCATTGAGGTGCTGTTTCACTTTTCTCCCTGTGGAGCGATATGGGAGTTTCCGAAAATTAGGGGTACCTTATTTTGGGGTCCTTATAATAAGAATCCTACTATTTAGGGTACTATATTAGGGCCCCCTATTTTCGGAAACCCCCTATGGAGGCTAATGGGGGCCATGCAGGCGCTTGGTAAATCCTAAACCTTAAAACCCCAAGCCAAACGGTTGATGATATAAATCCTGGATTAGTTTAAGGACCCTAAACTATGGGAATTATGGTATATTCCTCATTATGAGTAATGCAGGATTTATGTCATCAACCGAAGTACCAAAGCTCTAAAGCCCGTGGAATTTCCTACTCCTCCAGACATCCCAAATGCTGCAGTGTCCCTGAAGCATTTTCTCCAAGGGTAAATAAGGAGGAACCCTTAATAAGGACCCCTAGGTATATACCCTTAATATAGCTATTATATACCCATCATATAGCCCACCTGAGGGTAGAGGTCTCCATTAAGGGTCCCTCCTTTTCCCCTTTGATTTTCGGTGGCCCGACAGCCTAAGCTCCGAAGCCTGACTCCCCAGTCGAGGTTGCGAGCTTCGACATTTCGGGGCTTGCGCTGCGTCGGTTGATGATATAGATCCTGCATTACCCTAAGGACCCTAAACTATGGGAATTATGGTATATTCCTTATTATCGATAGTGCGGGATTTATGTCATCAACCGTTGCTCCAGAAACGAACTTGCTAATGCAAAACACTCAGGAGTTGACCTTCTCCAACCTCAAACCCCAACTCTAGACCCAAAGCCTAAAGCTCAAAATGAAAAGGACTAAACCCTGAACTCTAAACCCTAACGCCAAAACTGCATAAACTCTAAACCCTAATTAACACAGAAACCATAGCAACTCTGAAACCCTAAACACCGAAACCATACAAACTCAAGAAGCCCTAAACACTGAAACCATATAAACTCTAAAATACCCTAAGCACCGAAACCATATAAATTCAGAAAGCCCTAAACACCGAAACCATGTAAACTCTAAAATACCCTAAACACCGAAACCATATAAATTCAGAAAGCCCTAAAACCCTAAACCCTAAACCCTAATAAACACCGAAACCATGTAAACCCAGGGCCCCCGAGCCTGCGAGCCCCTGGCAGAACCCGTGCGAAGCTGCCTCTCCAGAGCGAGCAGATTTTGGGCGTAGGGTTTAGGGTCTAAGCTTCGGGTTTAGGGTTTAGGGTTTTAGGGTTTAGGTGATGAATCCTTCTGCCTGCTGTGAAATGTAAAGTGTGCATGCTTTCGAAGGCCTTGATGGCCCGAATCACTGAAGCTAGAAGACTCAACGTTAGTGCTAAGCACAGCACAGTCCTAGCATAGCAACGAGTATCAGGTTGCGCTTTCGGTGAAAACATTTCCAATTCGCTGTGTGGTGCCATGTTGCCGTCTACTGAGCATGCTGGAGAGTCAGGAAGTGCCTCGCATCATGAGGGTATGAGCCCAACGTTACCTGGTGAAGATGCCGCTCCTGATTACGGGGCAATGACGTCGGAGCCTCTGCGTCCGAATGTAGATGCTGCACTTCCTGTTCCGGTGAGGACCATGCCTAATGGGGTTTTGAATGAATCCGTGATGGAGCGAGCTTCGGGGGCTCGTATTTCTGACCCGGCTGGACCTTGCAGTGGTGCTAACGGTGTTATGGCTGCACAAGAGATGACACGTCAGATTCCTGGTGATGGAACAGTGTCACATGAAGGACAGACGACGACCTCGCCGCCATCACTTCCGCCTGGGGGCGTTGTTCTTCCCCTGTTTCCTCAGTTTCATCCTTCACCTCTACCAGGTCAATCTCCACTGACTCATCGAGAAGGTGAAGGTCGATCTGGTTCGTGGTTTACAAGGTTGGGGGATTATATCCAGAAGAGGGTTGAGGTTACGGCATGGTCTTCGCCACCGGCCTCGGCTACCCATCAGGCGAGTGTGTGGCATAATCAGAGTCGCGTTCAGACCATGGTCGTATCTTCGCCAACTGATGCTGAAAGGAGACCCGAGTCGAATTCGAGCGGTTCGGCAGGGATTCCTCAGGAGATGGTTCAAGCAGAAGTCGCGCGTCAGTTAGACAACGCTATGGTTGAAGTGATGAATCGCTTGCAAGCGGAAAGGTCAAGAACAGAACAAGCCACCCAGGAAGCACGTCAGCTTCGAGAGCAGTTGGAGTTCTACGAAATGAAGGCTCGGCAGGCACCCCCGCCCGGAATCTCACCGCCTCCTGGAGGCGATCATGGAGCTTCCATCGGAGTTTCTGCGAATCATCCTCTACCTGGTCTGATGTCGGAGCAATTTGCTCTTCCAGGGCTAGACCGTCGGATTCAAGGGGAACCGGAGCCTAGACAAAGGAATGATCAAGTTGTGGAAACCCCTAGCCTACCTCGTGGTGATCGGGCTTATGAGGCTACAAGTGATCCGGTACCAGGAAGCTTCAGCCTACCTAGTGGTGATCGGGCTTATGGGGCTACAAATGAACCTGTACCAGGAAGCCTTAGCCTACCTCGTGGTGATCGGGCTTATGGGGCTACAAATGAACCTGTACCAGGAAGTCTTAGCCTACCTCGTGGTGATCGGGCTTATGAGGCTACAAGCGGTCCTGTATCAGGGAGTCCTAGCCTACCTCGTGGTGATCGGGCTTATGGGGCTATTAGTGATTACGTACCAGGAAGTTCTAACCTACCTCGTGGTGATCGAGTGGATGGAGCTGTTGGTGATATGGTCTATGGAGCTTCTAGATTACCACCTGGCAACCAATTGGGTACAGCCCCTTTTATCAGTGATCCTGGAGCTTCCATCGGAGTTTCGGCGAATCATCCTCTACCTGGTCCTTCTGAAGAATATGGGCATAGGACGCGTACCAGATCTCAGTCGCCAAGTGGTCCCCGTGCTTTCTTTCAGGGCTTGTTTGGTCGAGGAACAGCAGTTCGTCAGGAAGCACAGCCATGTGACCAGTCAAGTACAGCTGTGCCGCGGTTGTCACAAGCGACTTTCATTCCACCTCCACTTCAACCTCCCTTACCTCCACCTCCACTACCACCTGTTTCCCCAGGCATTGCGGCACCGGCTGGCCGAGGTGATGACGTTCTGGCCACACTGGCTCGGGGCATTATTGAGGCCTTGCTGCAGCAACAACAGCAGGGGCCGCGTCCGGATCGTCCGGAAACCGTTAAGCCAGGCATATCTGAGCTTCCGCATCTCCCGGAGTACCAGCCGTCTACGGGGTCGATAGACCTACTACATTGGTTGACGCACATAGCGCCTATGATGGAGGACTTGTCAGATACCAGTTTGCTTTGGTGGCAACAGACGGTTAAGGATGCTTTGACCTGGTATGCTCGCTACTCCTCGTCTCCGCCCCTGGCCAGGTTGCAACTTCGTCCTCAGCCTAGCAGTGAACTTCGCCCTGAGTGGGCGCGGGTTGAGCGCCGGGCCACGGCGATGATGCTCAGTGCCATTCCGAAGGCGATCCGAGAGGAGATCATAGCGCATGGCCAGATGTCAACGTTGGATGTGCTTTGCAAGTTATACTCGGTGTATCAGCCAGGGAACCTGCAAGAGAAGACCTTAGTCCTGAGAATGCTGGAGCAGCCGGAGGAGTGCGTCACGGCGCTTCAGGCAGTTGAAGGATTGCGGCGATGGAGCTTGTGGAGGAGACGGGCGGCTTCACTTGGAATGGCAGAGCCGGACGCGTCAGTTCTTGTGAGAGGACTGGACAAGATAACGGCTCCGATAATCAAGGGGAGCGGTGAGCTGGCGTTCCGGGTGAGCTTGATCAGGAGTACCTTGCAGGTGGATGTGAGTCCTTCTTCGGCCACGGTGACTACGTTCTTGCAGCACCTCCAGGCTGAGATGGAACAGCAGGCCCGTCTTGGGGTTGCCAAGGGAGCATCTGAGAACCAAACTGCGCTTCGGGCTATCAACACCACTACTACCACTGACCCTTCACCTTCCCTACAACCATCAACTACTACAACTCCACCTTCACCCTCGAACAAGCAGCAAGGAGCCTTGTGCCGTTTCTTTGCTTCGGACAAAGGATGCCGTCGTGGAAATGGATGTCGGTTTCCACATACGTGGGCGCTGCTTGAGAAAGGGAGCAGGCAGCGGAAGTGCCTGTGCTGTGGGTCTACGCAACATAAGGTTAAGGACTGCAAGGCGCCGGGTGGAGGCCAAACAAGGGCTACTTCATCGAGGACGGAGGCGGCGGGTCCAGGTGAGACGGGATCTACTTCGCCTACGGCGTCTGTGGCAGATTCACCCGCACGAAAGGTGAAGTTTGACGGTGAGCAAGTGCAAGCCAAGGTTTGTAAGATCCTGCAGGATGTGAAGAATATGCCCCTGTTCCGGTCGGTGATTGATGCAGTGAATCGGTGGGCTCATCAACCTGAGCCACCATCCCCCCGGGCGCGATCGGCGCTGTTGGACTCTGGGGCCACGCATGTTCTACGGGGACCGCAGGATGAACGTGAATGGCGCCAGGCTACGGATGTAAAGGTCCAGTTGGCTGGGGATGCATACGCCTCTATGCGTCAGACCTCTTCGGGAACGATTCTCAATGAGGACCAGATGGCTCAGGTGATAGTGCCGCTGGGCAAGGTGATTGTGAATCTGGGCTACAAATTGCATTGGACCTCGGAGGAGTGTTACTTGTACCACGAAAATGGAGAGGTCATACACTTAGATGTGGTCCGGGGTTGCCCGGAGGTGAGCGAGGAGGTGGCGAAGAAGTTAATCTTCCGTTTGGAACAGACACAGCTCCCAGAGCTCAAGGACACCACGGAGGCGTCGATCAAGGCCCTGAACTTTGTGAAGTCGAGTTGGTGGGTGTGCCTTATGGAGTATGTGATGACTGGCAGCGTCGATGCTGCAAGGACTGCTATTGCCAAGGCTCCTTTCTTGCTGTACAAGGATGTGATTACGACTACTTTGGCTACCTCCAGACCGAGGACGGGAATATGGGATCTGTTGAAGTCCATTAAGATCAACAGGCGAACTCGCAAACGCCTCATGAATTCATCCTCCTGGGTGATTCGCTGGGATCCACCCACCGTGGACCGACCCCGAGACCTCTTGAAGCACCTTGGGATGGCCAAGGAGACTATGTATGTGAACCTGAACACATTGCTTCTTGAGAACGAGTTCGATGATGTTTGGAAGGTTGTTCTTTGGGGTGCAATGGAAGGAAAGATTAGCACTGTGGTGGCTAAGGATTGCTGCAGGTCCCCTCTGGACCAAGTGGTCGCTGCACCGCACCGGAGTAAGGTGCACTACTTGCATGCGTTGGCAAGCGCAGGCCGTACTGCTCGCGGTCAAGATGCTGTGAGGTTGCTGGTTGAGGACTTGGATCGTGTTCAACGAGATCAGCGAGAGGCTCGGACATTATGTGGCCGGCGTGGTCTATGTGTAAGGAGGCCCAGGAGTATATGAACGAGATGGGAATTGTTGATGTCTCAATCTCTGAGTTTACGGGCGAGAACTATGTAAGGGTTGCTCGTATGGACGGGGATGCTGCCTGGCGGCTACATGTTATGCGAGGGCGTCAGCCATTTCGGCGAGATTGCTCGGTGTGCGTACGCAACAGTGCCACGGGCAAGCAGCACAGAGCTACCATGCATCCAATGGCCTACACGTTGAGTGTGGATGTGGTTGGGCCGCTGAAGGAGTACGGAAAGTCCCCTGATGGTAAGTTCTTCAAGTACTTTGTGATAGGTGCTATGAGGATCCCAAAAGTTGATGGCGGTGAAGGACATCCAGAAGTTCATGGTCACCCAATTCCTCCTGATGGTCTTGGCGACGAGGAGGAGGAGGAGATCTTGTCCGAGGAGGAGCGGGACGAGGATGAGCCTGCCCCTGAACGTGACTATTGTGACCCCGCCGAGATTGAGAAGGAAAATGAAAGATGGAAGGAGTTGAAGGCGTCGTTCAAAGAGCCGATATCAACTACCACCTTGTACTTTGCGGTTCCAGTGAACAACAAGAAGGCAGCTACGATGCTTCCGGCTGTGCAAAAGATTGTCCTGGATGTGAAGGCCCTGGGCTACCCTATCACCAGGCTTCATAGTGATCGTGGTGGTGAATTCCGAGGCCACCTGGTGAGAAGATGGGCTTTATCTCAGGGTATGTGGCCTACGACAACCTCCGGGTCGGAACCGGCGGCTAATGGTGTCGCTGAGTCTGGAGTTCGGTACTTGAAGCGGCGGGCGCGAGTGCTGCTGGACAGCTCAGGTGTGGGTCGACAACATTGGCCTACGGCAGTTCAGCATGCGGCGGCGCAGCAGCGATGTGATCAACTTGGAGTTCTACCAGCCTTGCCAGTCGCCTACGGCACGAAGGTGTATGTGAAGACCAAGAAGTACAAGACTGGGGCGGTCGAAGATTTTGGCCCGCACTGGACCCGTGGACGATATGCTGGGCCGTCCACTGATATTCGAGGCGGACATGTGATTCTGAAGGACACCGGCACCTTTGTTCAGACCACGCATGTGAGGATCACCAGGGAGCCACCTCCCTTGGATACCATAGCCCCGACGGTTCTAGTGGACCCAGAAGGTGCTGACGAATCACCTCCCGCCGAAGAGGAACCTCCTTTACCACCACCGGTACTACCTCCACCTGATAAAAGGCTCCGGAGAAAGACCCCCAGAGCTGCCAAACTTGATGAGCTTTATGAACCTTGTGTTGAGCTGTCGGATGCTACTCATGGTGTGAAAAGTTCATTTGAGGAGGAGCCCGAGATGAAGTACCTGAGAATGGAAGAGGTTGAGTACCTAGAGGGAGTCGCTCGTGGTTTGTATGAGAACCAGAAATTCAGTAAGTCTGACAGCCACCGCCTATTGAGTTTGTTTGCTGGAACATGCGGCAATTTGAAGGTTCCCCGCGCTCCGGAAGGTCAAGGCTTGGTGCTTGGAGCTTTCGTTCATGGAGGTTCATTTGGAGTGACCCGTTATGGACGTGATCTTCCGTGGGTTACCAAGTACTTCAACACCTACTTGTACGAGAAGATCAGGGCCCAATGGCCGCACGCTCGACCTACCTGGACTACCCTGGCTGTGCAATGTGCCGAAAATGTCCCTCGCCATCGTGATGTTCATAATGAGCGAGCTACCTTCAACTATGTGATTGAGTTGAAGGCGGAGGACGTTGGTGGTTTGTGGGTTGAGGATAAAGGCTTCGAGCGTTGTGTTGTTGGAGGAGAGCGACCACAAGATTTTCAGTACGAAGCCGAGAGTGGCGTTGTGTATGACGGGTGCATGGTTGATATTTCGGAGCGGCCGGCGGCTTTCAGCCCAACAACCCCGCACGCATATGTGACCGCCGACCATAGACGATGGTTCTTGAGCGCTTACACTCCTCAAGGGTTCTCTCGGCTGAGTCTTGGTGATCAGCGATACCTGCGAGGCTTGGCGTTTCCTCTCTGTCAAGAAGATGAAGATTACCACGGAACGCTGGAGAATGCTCCCGCGTTAAGGGCTGCAGACTTGCCTACTGGGGCTACATTGAGTGGATCTCATGTGAACCAGGGAGATGTGGAAGTAGCTACCGTGGGAGATTGTGAGGAAAGTCTCAGTGAATGGGCAATCTATGTTGAGGACTACGTTGAGGAAGAGACCGAACTTGGAGTTTGTGAGCAGGTCAGGTGTTTGAAGAAGATTGGTTCTTCTGATGATCCCGGAGATGAACTTTGGTCTTTGGTGGAGGCCTCGGAACTTCTGTCTGAGGAGGAGGTTGGCCCTGCTGTTGTTGAGAGCTTCGGGGAAAGGCTAGAGGACTGGAGCACTATGGGGACTTTGGATGTTCCAAGGATCGCAAAGGTTGAGCCGGAGTATACCCCCGACATCGAGGACATCATCGGCAAGGCTATCTCGGATCGGTGCCCTTTACGTCACACCTACAATGTAAGCCCTCAGGAGGCTAAGGCCGTGATCGAGAAGTGGCGGTCTGCAATCACCAAAGAGGTGGGTGTTGTAGAGAAGGGTTTCAAGAGGATCCATGTTGATGAGGTCCAGGAGATGAAAAAGAGGTGTTCCGTTCAGGAGCTGCCTTCCAAGTTGGTTTACACAGTGAAGCCGCCGAGCACGACATCTACTACCATTACTGATGAAGAGGATGAAACCATGTACTGTCGTCGTAAGGCTAGGGTGGTATGCTGTGGCAACTTCGCCGACGAGGAGGGCTCTGACCTTTTCGCCGGGGGCATTGCGGCGGAAAGTATGAGATGTGTACTGGTGTACACAGCCGACCAAGGCTGGATGGTGGGAATAGTTGATGTCACTGGAGCGTTTATGCTCACTCCGCTTCCGCAATTGCAAGGGCAAGTTCGTTACATCATAAGACCACCAGCAGCTTTGATAGCCCTTGGATTGGCAGACAGGAATGAAAGGTGGCTATTAACGCATGGAATGTATGGCTTACGCCAGTCACCTAGGTTATGGTCGGAGTATCGTGACTCTGAGCTGAAGCAGGTTACTGTTGAGTATGAAGATAAGGTCTATGCGCTGAAGCAGGGCGTGGCGGAGCCGAACATGTGGCTTGTGTATGAAGTGGGCGCGCCAGTGGATCAACCTCCTGACGGTCTCATCCTGGTGTACGTGGACGACATCATGTTATGTGGGCCAAGAGGTTTGGTGTGCGCTGTAGCTGCTAAGATTTCCCAACTTTGGAAGACTTCGGAGTTGGAACTGCTGACGGCGGAGCACGATCTTAGGTTTTTGGGCTGTGAGATATCAACCGAAGAGGGTGAGAACGTCTTCTACTTGCACCAGCGGCCCTACATAGATGAGATCCTACGCCATCATGGTATAGCAGCGAGTACCTTGTCTCAAATACAGGCCCCACGCGACATGGTGACCTTTGAGGCTTTTGAGGGAGAGACCCCGGGAACCCCCGAGGAGATCAAGGCCGCGCAACGTTTGTGCGGCGAACTACTTTGGCTGGCCCAGCGATCAAGGCCAGATATTTGTTACGTTGTGAGTGCTATGGGCTCCCTGTTGTCAAGGGCAGCGGTTCGCTGCGCTGCCATTGGCATGAGGTTGCTGGCCTACTTGCAGCAGACCAGAAGCCTGGCGCTGACTATGAAGGCCACTTCGAGTGACCTCATTGCCTACTCGGACAGTTCGTTTGCTCCCCAAGGAAGTCGAAGCTTTACGGGAGTTGTTCTGAGTTGGAAGGGTGCGCCAGTGTCATGGAGGGCGGCAAAACAGCCGTTCACCTGCTTGAGTACAGCTGAGTGCGAGTTGGTGGCTTCCATTGAGGCATTGACGATGGCCAAGTCTTTGGAGGCTATCATCCATCAATTGGACCCTATGCCCAGGCCTATCATTTTGGGGATTGACAACCAGGCGACGATTGCGATCGCTCAGCCTTCTACGACGGCTTCTTGGCGTACACGACACCTACGAGTACGTGCTTCGTACATTCATGAGCAGGTGGAGTCGAGGCAGGTGAAGATCCAATATATTCCGGGCAAAGACCAGTGGGCGGATCTGCTAACAAAGAGTTTTCCCAGGCAGAGGCTTTGCGAGCTTACGAAGCTTTGGGGTTTTGTGGATCGTATTCATGAAGCGTCCAAGAAGGCTGTCATGAAGGCAATGCTGATGTGTATGGTGGTTCAAACTTCCCGGGCGCAGGAGATTAACGAGCCCCTTGCAATCAACACCTCCGTCGAGCTCTACGTTATGATCTTGGTGTTGGGTATTGCCGTGGTTGGGCTTTGGGAGTTCTTATGGCTCTGTGTTGATCGGTGCTGCACGAGACCTGAGGAGACTCGCTCGGCTAAGAAAATGAGGAGGCTACGTGAGTTGGTTCAGAAGGAACTGGAGACACAGATTAATGAGGTTTCTGCAAGCTCATCGTCGGCGCCTTCCGCACCGACGCCTGCTCCAGCTCCACCGACGACTCCGCCAAGAACTATGAGAAGTTCCATGTCTATGCCCTCACCCCCGCGACCGACAAGTGCGTTGGATATGCCCACACCTCGTTGTACCAGGCTTTCAGATGCCACTACTCAGACCCCGATTACCGAAGACTATGTACCAATTGTGGAATATCTGGATCGTGATGTTCCTGTTGTGGTGCGAGAGTGGCATCCGGGCCCAGTATACGTGAGTCAGCATGGAGACACGTTTCATACCCATGAGCGATGCTGGGGACTACGGAACACAAGGGCGAGGCCCCTGCGATTCTGCCAGTGCTGTCGGGACAACGAAGGGCGATCACTTCGTGACCGAGGCGGCTAAAGTCTGGCAGGCGACAATGTGGAGTGTTTGATCTCCCTTGCAGGTTCGATAAAGGAGGAGTGATGAATCCTTCTGCCTGCTGTGAAATGTAAAGTGTGCATGCTTTCGAAGGCCTTGATGGCCCGAATCACTGAAGCTAGAAGACTCAACGTTAGTGCTAAGCACAGCACAGTCCTAGCATAGCAACGAGTATCAGGTTGCGCTTTCGGTGAAAACATTTCCAATTCGCTGTGTGGTGCCATGTTGCCGTCTACTGAGCATGCTGGAGAGTCAGGAAGTGCCTCGCATCATGATTAGGGTTTAGGGTTTAGGGTTTTAGGGTTTAGGGTTTAGGGTCTAAGCTTCGGGTTTGGGGTTTAGGGCTTGGGGGGGGGGGGGGGTTAGGGTTTAGGGTGTAGGCAGTGTAAGTAAGTTTTTCTTAGGGTATGGAGTTGAGGGAGTTATCGATCCTTATGGCGGTGCTGGGCTCGAGGAGAGCATGGTTTAAAGGCGGGGTACGATAGAAGATCTCCAAGCCCAGATCTTGGGGTTTCCTTCTGCTGTGCCGTCCCGAACTTGAACATTGAACTGTTACATCAGGCTCATTCGCAAGGCACTCAATCCCGTAGATCGCAATGCCACAGCATCCCATGCTGTCCCGCTCGAATTTGGATGGAGGTGATATTCACACGGGAGCGCTTCAGGAGCAGTTTACATTGGCCGCTGTCAAAGCATCTCAACAAGGCTACACACGTTCCCCTGAAACGTTTACGTTAACTCATCCGAAGGGTTCAGGGATAGAAGCCCCAGAAATGGTTTAAGACTGGCTTAAGCAGAACGAAGCATCAGCTCTGCCCCACATCTTCGCCGTTTCAGGGATTGGGCTCCAGATTCGGCAAAGGATCTTGGGTTTCCGGTTGCAGGTCTCACGGCTGATGACCTTACAGTAGGGTCGTCGGTTTAGGATTTCGGGCTCAGGGTTAGAGAGTGTATGGGTGGGAGGTCTACTGGTTCAGGGTTTGTCAGCAGTTTCCAGGATCTAGAGAGTATCCTTCCCGAACCCGTCCAGTGGGTTCTCCATTTGACTATGGGGTTTCAGGTGAAGTTTGGCATCCTTCTGACAGCATTTCCTTTATTCCCTGTAGCGTCAGTGAGAAGAACGCTAGTGTACAGCTTGCATGCAGTACGTGCCGAACCAATAGATGCACAGTTGTATAGCTGCTTTGTAGATACACCGAAGCCAGAGATAGGGTTGGCGCCATCCCGTGGAAAAACCGAAGAGACAAATCTTTGACGACGGCCCACACGACTGCAAATGGATACGTCCGGCAGGCGAGACGACGGGCCAAAGTCCTTACGTAGGAGCTCAGATAGCTTCGGCCCCCCCCACTCATGTGAACCCTGTGGGGTTTAGAGCTGGTTTGGGCGTAATTTTGCAATCTTTGTCCTGGAGCGGTGCAATCCTGAGTCTTCCAGTAGCTGTTTCAACACACCTGTGGTCCAGTTTAGGTGAGCCAACAGTAACAGTGTAGCTTCTTTTCAATGCAGGATGGCCTTTGGGGGAAGTCAAGAAGCGCATTCCATATGGCCTCCTTACAAAAGAGGACCTCTGGCAGAGACCCCTACCGGGATCCCAAAAGGTATGTAGAAGACTAGCCTTTTATAGGTATTGGGCCAAGATTTACCTACTTTTTTTTTTGGGGGGGGGGTTTAGGTAAACCCTAAACCCTAAACCCTTAAAAAAAAACAAAAAACGCCCTACTTGCTTTTGGGGGGGTTAGGTAAACCCTCACCCCCCAGATCCGAATCCTCAGGCCCCTCAGATGATGACATGAAAGTCTGACTCGTTCCAAATACTGCTCCTTAGGCTTCTTATGCTTAAATCCTTAGAGATTGAGATACCCCACCACCGTATTCTTTTAGAAATCCCCCCCCAATTACTAAACCTTCTGGGACCCTTCGAGTTCGAGGAATAGTAGACTTCGGGCTGGCAAGGGTCACTCTTTTCTCGAGACGAAAAACCTGAGCCGTAAGGCCCTGGGGTTGAGGTACTTCTTTCATTAAGGCTTTGGGGTTTGGGGAATTCAGTCGTCGACTCTAACGCAGAGAGACGCCACACATTGAATTTTGGAATTGAGGATGGGTATTTCTTTACAAGATGTTATTATATAACGTCGATCTTTTGTCTAGTGTCTCTTGTCGAAAGCATTGCAGAACTGACCTTCAAGTCCTCAGGGCTTACATATTTTCCCGTCAGTTAAAGAATCTTACATAACTCACTGGTGAAAAGGGAGTTCTGGGTTCTTCGGCCGAGTCTCAGTGCCGCAGGATTCGTTTCGTGGCAGCTTGATGTGCGTTAGGTCCGGCTTAGGGTTTAGGGATTCATAGGTAGTATTATTGGGGAGACCCCTTAAAGGGCACCCCTTCTGAACCCTACTTCTGGCTCTCTTAAAAGGGGCCTTATTGAGAGGGTCTCTATCCCCAAGGGTCCCCCTAATCCTGACTCCCAATTCAGGGTGTGATCTCGTAAGGGTTTAGTCTTGAGGGTTTTGGGACCTAGGACTGAGGCTTAGGTTGCTTCTGACGGGTGCCGGCATATCAGGCCGTCCGAGAATACTGATGCATGCAGATGTAGATCGAGCTTCCCCACGAGATCTGGTGTTTGCAGTTCAGACATTCGGGCTCAATGGTCAGTCCAACGGTAAAAGGAGGGACCCTTAATAAGGACCCCTGGCTCTATACCCTTAATGTAGCGATTATATACCCATTCTATAGCCCATTATAGGGTAGGGGTCCCCATTAAGGGTCCCTCCTTTTCCCCTTTGAGTCAGAATCTCACCGAAAAGTCAAGCCCCCAACCCTGGACTGCATGGTGACCTCCTGGACGCTACATCCCCACACAACCGAACCCTAAACCCAACGCCCCAATTTAAGCCCAGAACCCTCTGGGGTGTACGGTGTAGCATTTTCTTCGATATGCGAACCTCGACACTGAAAATAGAGCTCTTTATATCCCTCTCTATGGGACTCCGTAGGAATATTGGTGAGTGTAGACTTGCGTGTCAGACTGGGCAGACTGGTAATTGCTAAGGATTCTACATCATCCCTGCCATTGGCTGGCGCCATTATTTTGAAATGTCCCTTCTGGGTCCGAACTAGTACAACCGCAGAGTCTGGATATTGAATGCTGAACCCGAACCCGGTGTGGGGAAGCAGCAAGACACCCATTGACTCCGATATCCCTGATGCACCTAAGCTCTGAACCCCTAGACCCTAAAGCCTAAACGCCTCACCGCTAAACCCCGACTACCGGATGGTTGGGTGCCTCGGTAAGAGGTACCAGGTCAGGAATATTGGGGTCGCCAGACATGCCAGCAAGGCCATCGAATGCCTGATGCAAGGAGAAAGCCTCGCTCACTTGCTGAACCCTGAACCAACCGCCCAAAAAACGCAGAATCCCAAGCTCGACGCAGATGTGATCCAAAGGGCTCAGGGTTTAGATTAGGATTTCCCGCACTTCGGGGTCATGTGGCTTAAGACCGGAATTTGCTTGGTTTTGTTTGGCAGCATGCATACTTCTTACGACGGCTGACGGGCAACACAGGCACGACGCAAACTGAGGATTCTGTGTTCTCTTTCTGTACCGGCTTCTTGAGTCAGATTCCAAACCGGCCCTGGTTTTGGGTAGAGTCATGCTCTAAAGAATCAAGTCTGCACGACGCTCCAACTCGAAGCCCAGCCTGCCCTGAGTATTATGGCGCTTGCACAAAACCCAGGTTTAGGGTTTAGGGATATCCTCCAGACGACCCTGTGATGACTTACATGCGGTGCTCTCGCCAGCGCCCCGCAGCTATGTCAAAGGCTCTGCCTGCGCTTACCGTTCTCTGTGAGCTCAGTTTCCGTGTCGGGTGCAGAAAGAAGGCGCCCCCGACAAATATACCAACATATATAGCTCGGATGTACACAAGCATACACTAGTGTACCCCAAAACCTTTACCCAAAGTACACGGGCCTGTACATTAATCATTACCTATAGTCTCCATTGTAGTTCCTTTTGTTGGTTAACCAAAACCTCTATTATGGGATCCTAACCATAAAATTGGTTAACCAAAAAAAGGAACTACACTGGAGACTATAGGTAAGCTCCAAGCACGAATCCCCCAAAGCATTAACACCCCCTTTCACGGATACTCCATACACTCCGTGGGTGCATTTGCAGACCTAAAGCCTTATAAACCCCAAACCCTAAACCCTAAACCCTGAACCCTAAACCCTAAACCCTGAACCCTAAACCCCAAGCCCTAAACCCTAAACCCTAAACCCAAAGCCCGAAACCCTAAGCCCAAAACCCTAAACCCTAAACCCCGCAAAGTTGAGAGACTCTAGGGTATGCATGCGAAGCTCCCAGATCTGATAATGAAGTGAGCCCCGATCACCAACATGCCTCAACATAGCCCCTACGAGTCATGCATAGGGCTCAGGGCTGTAGAGTTTAGGCTTTGGGGTATGCCCTAAACTCCTAAACCGCTGAACGGAAAGCCCCTACTTCCTGAGCCCTGAACCCTGCAGTGTGGCACTGTTGCCCAACAGCCCTGACAATATCCGATGTTTAAGACCCCACGGGCAGTCGAAGATACCCAGACACTCGCAATCGCTCCATTATGATGGTATATGCTCCTTTCCAGCCATAGCAAGAAACCCTACCCGATTCAACAGTTACGGGATTTCGGGCTCCTCGTGGGTTATACAGCCGACAGGCTCATGGCGTCGAAGGATGGCTTCGCCAAGGAATCCTCTGGCTATACCTACGGAACCTTGCTTGGGGTGCGCGGGGTTTTGGGTTTGCTGGGTTTCAGGGTAAAGGATTCACAAGTTTAAGCTGATTTCGGTGCAGGCATTGGGAGTGGGTTCGGGGTTTTAGTAGGAATTTTCTGTTTTGGGTCTTTGCTGATTCTTAACCCGAGACCGCCCAGACCCCAACAAATTTGGAGTCTAGGATGCCTGATGCTATAGAAAGCCTTTCTTTGCGAGATCATGACATGCTGGTGGTCCGTTGATCAAAACACCAAGCCGCCTTTCTTCAATGGCATTCTCTTCCTTTATGAAAATAAAAGGGCTCAGTCCGACCACAGTAATTTCAATTCTGTTTCGGCTCGATGGGTTGAGATCGCCGCTTGGAGCTATCTATGGGTTTAGGGCTCACGTTTTCGTGTAGCGCTGCTTGGGTTCAGCCCAATCTTGTGGCAATAAGCAACCCAGATGGTCCGTTACTACTGCCACTGTCGAAATTGGTTCCTGAGCCTCATGATGTATAGACTGTATAGAGGTTTGGAGAACAAAAAGGATGTCGGCGTATAGTCTTTAACATTACCTCAAGATGCCAGTCGCAGCTCACAAATGCAGCCCCGATCCTACTGACCCCCCTACGTCCCTAAAACCTAAACCCCAGCCCTAATGACTCCCTGAAGGTCCGCTATAAAAAGGACACCGGCGTCAAACAGCTCTTCTACTCTGCACTCATTGCGCTCGGCCTGACCGTCGTCCGCAACCTGCTTCCAGCACCCAAAGCCCAAAACCCTGACACCCTAAACCCCTAACTATGAAGGGCCCTGTAGGTTTAGGGCTTCCAATTTGGCTTAGGGTTCAGGAGCGTGGCTTAAATCGTGGTTGGGAGCTTGACAAGCTGCAAGATTCATTGTTCAGTTAACGGTCTTTGTGTCCTCTCGGAATGCGGAGCCAGATGTGTATATACATATATATATATATATATATATATATATATATGGTCACGCGCTCCGCAGCCCCCCCCCCCCTCCCCCCCCAAAGGTCAATGGTCCGGATATAGGGTGGGGCCCCCCCCTCCCCTGTGGTGTGGGGTGTGGGGTTCCTTTTCCTCCTGTGGGGTGGTTGTGGGGTTTTGGGGTTTCGGGTTTAGCTTAAGCTTTTGAGTTTTGGGTTTACGGCTACAAGGTATAAGGCTTCGAGTCGACAAGGGCTTAGGGAGGATTTGCGGTGTATGCTCTGCTTTAGGCTTAGAGCCTGCGGTTAGGTGGGGTTTAGGGTTGGGTGTAGCGTTTTAAGTACAAGTTAAGGTTGCTCAAAACCGGGGCACGCGCTGCGTCATAGGGTTTACGGCTTGCTTGCGAAGGGCTTGCGCGTGAGCCCTGGCCGCCAGCACCGCCCCACCATCCAGCGGCAGCTCGAACGGCCCCGACCCTTTCCGCACACGCCAGCCCCGCCCCCCCCCCTTCACCCCTGTCAGACCATACCATTGGGGGGGGGGGGGGCTGGGAATGCCAGACGCCTGACCATATATATATATATATATATATATATATATTTTTTTTTTATATTGCCATATATGAATTGCCGTCCGAAGTAGTCTCCCCTTGCAGAGGCTGTGATCGCTTGTGGTACAAGACTCCTAAACACTGCACTTAACCGTGCACCCTGAACCTTTAACCTTCAGCCCTAAGTCGCCCTTGCCCGACCGGGCGTCGAAGCCAAAGCCCCGAATGCCCAACCCCCAACACTGATCCCTGACCACCTGCCCTGACTGAACACTGATCCCCGAAAATTCTTGACGCTTCGAGATTCAGGGCCTTGTGGCTATAGATGGTTTACGGTGAAACCATAGTAACCATTGTAGCCCCTACGACAACTCTTGGCTCGAATAACCCTCGGCGCAACCCACATCGGAACTCCTAAACCCCAAAACCCTAAATCCATAAACCCCTACATAACTTCTAAACCCTAAACCCTGAACCCTAAACCCTAACCCCTAAACCCGTGAAGCCTGAGCCTCCCAGGCATCGTGGCAGACCTAGCCTTGGCTCTCTCCCTGCGATACAAGGCAAACAAAGCTCGATCGTTCACTCGGGTTTAAGGGTTTAGGGTTTTGGGGGTTTAGGGGTTAGGGGTTTTGGGCTTAGGGGTTTCGGATTTAGGGTTTAAGGGTTTTGGGTTTTGCGGTTTAGGATTTTGTAGGGTTTAGGGATTTAGGGGGTTTAGGGTTTAGGGGGAGCTCGAGTTGAGGCCTTCCTAGCGTGTCAGAGTAGAGATCAATATTGAGACGTTTTCCTATGGGTTGGCTGGGCGGTTTAGGGTTTAGGGTTTGGTAAGGTTGTGTTTATGAAGTTGATTATTGGGCTTCATGAGGGTCCATAGGGCCTTCATAGGGTGTTATAGTGTGTAACATCGATTCCGGTTTGTTGTCGGCCATGTATGTGCTTCCCCATTACGTGAGGGCGGTTTACAGTGGTCTACATTGGGCTCTTTGTTTTAGACTATGGTCGAAGGCTCCAGAAGGCCTACCTGCCTACGGTTTAACCCCCAATAACCTAGCTCTTGAAGGACTTATACCAAGAATTGACTAAAGGTAGGCTTTCTAGGGATTCTAGGGTCCAGGTAGGCTTTAGGGAGTGAGCTGCGGATGCTTACTTTGCAGGACACCTGGGCCCTAATCTTCATGTCTCTCTTGGACCTGGCTCTGTGCCCCGGCTACCATCTAACCCAGATCTTCCAAAAACCCAGAATCAAGGAATATACTTGAAGTTATAGGAGGGATCTTACTATCATGCTCCATAGCCAATTAATAATTGGATTTGGAAGATTCGGGAACTGGGGGTTTAGGGGTTCAGTCAGGGTTTTGATGCAGGGCTTTGCTCTTACATGGCGTTTCACAATAGGTTCTATACAGCTTGATACATTTGCAACGCTATGAGGCCTTTGTGCAAGTTTGAAATTAGTTGTTTAGTCTGGGGCTTCAGGTTTTGGGTCAAGGATTTTTGGATAGTGGGTTTGGTGTTTAGGGTTGAGGGCTTAGAGTTTGGTGTCTAGGGTTTGCGGGTTTGGGTTCAGGGCGTACCTACAGCTTCCAATGTACATAGGTCTTACTTTGGTTTAGCAGGTCATAGCTGTTGGTTGGGGTCCTATCTAACATCACGAAGCAAGATAACAAAGAGTGGCAGCCGTAATTAGGCAACCCGGTCGAAGCGGCAGCAAGAGAAGTCCGGGTAATTACATAACAGAAAGAAGCGATGTCCATGGCAGGGGCGACCAATCCTGACCCCAGAAAGGACCTCCACACGAAGTTGAAAGACCCTTGTCCCTCAATGCCTGAACGCCCAAAGAGCTACGGCCCGGAATCTGAGCACCCAGAGGCGCGGATTGAAAGAGCTAAGACGGTTAACTTCTGTCAACCTTTCCAGGAAAGACACCAGGACCCCCCAAGTACCCTTTAACAGAGTCCTTATAGCCCTTACTAGTGGGTAGTTGGGTACATTAGAGGGTAGTTAGTCGGGGGCTCCAGGCAATCATCAGGGTTTAGGGAAGAAAATGGGAATGACGAGCCGAGGTTATATTTCAAACTCGTAAGTAATCGGAGCCACTGTTAAGCCCTACACCATACCCCAATCAATACCCTGCCGCCCTGCGAAGCCCTATAACACCCTAAATCCCTATCAAAACTCTACAGCACCCTGCAAACCGCGTAGCCACCCCAGACCCTGCAGCCCTGCAGCAACAGCCGCATCAAACCCTTAAATCCCAAGACCCTCAAGTCAGGAGCATCTTCGCAGGTGTTGCTGCCCGCCCTCTGGATGCCTTGAAGTCGGTGAAGCTTCGGGTTGCTTCAGGGTGGCCTTGCTAGTAAGGAGTTACTGGGTGGCTAGATTGAAGAACGGGTATATATAGGTGATTGAAAGCTTGGGAACTTCAAGGTTTGTAGTGTTAGTAAGGTGTTTTGCTGTTTAGCGGTGTGGCAACAGGTTCTGATTCAATTCGGCGCCGTCTCTCCACTCTAACAGAAACAAGAGCCAGAGCCAGAAGTAGGTGATATTGTTTCTGATGTGCTTAGGGTCATGAAGGAGTTCTGCAGTCCCTTGCGTTCTAATCGCAGACAGGGGTTTAAGTGTTACCACAGGAATGAGAATGACTACAACTACACGGAAGAGCCTAGCATTATGTAATTGTCCCTTCCTGTTTACTTGCGTTGCAATGTACCCCAAGACTCCAATGTCATCACGAAGGCTCCTGCATTTTGTAAAATTCCATGGCTTCGTACAATGCGCAGGATTTCATTTTTTTTTTACGCACTAAATGCCAAACAACCCTGGATCTCTGAGCCCTGAGCCCCTAAGCCCGTACACCATACCTTATAACCCTGAAGAACCTACCCTTTTTCAGGACGTATATAAGGAAATGATAATAAGGTACCCTAAAAAGGTAGGTTCTTCAGGGTTAAGGTAGACCTTATAAACCTCCTTGCCTCTGAGCCGAGGTTGTGCTGTGACGTCGCCGTCCTGGAACACGGTTGTCTTCGCTGCCGTGTCCTTTCTAGAGGCGTTTGTACGCGGAAAACGACGAATCCCATGAAAGGTAGCAGCATTGCTTTCTGTACCTCAAAGCGTGCGCGGTATTTAGCGGGTTCGGGGTCCCCGAACGGATTTAGGGCCTAGGGCCTAGGGTTTTGGCTGCTCCCTCAACGCCGCCGTTCGGTCCGAATTTAGGTTTGGTAATTACTCGTAATGTTGACCCCTGATTAATAAACCCCCCCCCCCCCCCCCCCCCCCCCCCCCCCCCCCCCCCCCCCCCCCCCCCCCCCCCCCCCCCCCCCCCCCCCTCAAGGTTGTCAAGGTCGCAGGCCCCCCACAGGATCACAGAGCCAAATTGCAGTAAACAGTGGTGCTAGTAGTAGTAGTCGTAGTAGCAGCAGTAGTAGCAGTGCCAGTGGCAGTGGCAGTGGCAGTAGCAGTAGCAGTAGCAGTCGCAGTAGCAGTAGCAGTAGCAGTAGCAGTAGCAGTAGCAGTAGCAGTAGGAGTAGGAGTAGGAGTAGGAGTAGGAGTAGGAGTAGGAGTAGGAGTAGGAGGAGTCGTCGTCGTCGTAGTCGTAGTAGTAGTAGTAGTAGTAGTAGTAGTAGTAGTAGTAGTAGTAGTAGTAGTAGTAGTAGTAGTAGTAGTAGTAGTAGTAGTAATAGTAGTAGTATTTCATAGTATTCAGTAGTATTCAGTAGTATTTAGTAGTATTTAGTAGCTTGAAAGAGGACAAGACGCCCTTTAAATGTAGTCTTGCCCCCTTTAAAAGTAGTCTTCGAAGCACTTTGAAATTTTAGTTCCCCAGACGGTGTTGCCTTTAATCGTGGGGGTTTTCTGCAAAAAACGATCCTTATTTGGGTGCTTGCTTTAAAGTAGTACAGATTGGGGCCGGAGCCGCCCGCAGGCCGCCTTTAATCGTAGGAGATTATTAATCCTAGGTCAACATTATTCCTGAACGTTCCTTGTAAAACGAATGGCTGGAGATATGTTACGTTGTACTAGTATATAACACCCACACCTATTGAAGTTATATAAGATGCCTCCGTTGAACACCATCATGAAATTTCAGAATCGGCCCTTGACAACACAACAAGCAGACTGAAGGGTAAACTCAGCCGGAACCAAAGCCCCATCTGAACCCTAAGCCTTCAACGAAACGACCATGAATAACAATACCCTAAACCCTTATCAGTAAACGTAATCTCGACTCACATCATCTTTAAGTCAAATATGTATACATACATGCATATGTATATGTATATACGCAGATATTTACATATGTACATCTGTTCTCTATATATATACACATGTATGTATATATATATATATATATATATAGCATATATACAGCACAGACAATCTGGTCCGAGTACAGACACTAGAGTTTGGGTTCTATGTTAATTATAGTTATAGTAAGATATGGGATTCAGCGGCAATAATTTGCCTCTAATCGCATACGTGCTCTGCAGGCTGCTCTTTTCAGCACGATTTACCTGGTCGTTGTCATTGTGGATGCTCGGCCGAATCCTCCTTCCTGTTAGCGTTGCTTGAACCTTGCTTTGGGGTCGGTATGCTTCGAAATATTGTTGTTCAGGGCTCCTTATTATCATTTTATCATAAGGTATCGTGAGGAGTTTTGTTTTTTGCACTTGACGCTTCAGGCTTCAGGGTTTCACTTGAAGGACACTTGATGACCTGTGTGGTCGTTGTTACCCAGTAGTTAGTCTTGTCATACTGGCTGCGGGTACGACGGCTTTGCGCGCCCTTTGTCGCTTGCCGAAGCCCTTGCAATTAATAAGGTAGAAGCCAGAAAGTTGGAATATGATTATCCTAACCCTTCTATGGTAAATTAGAGGGTATCCTACCATGAAACCATATTCCAACTTTCTGGAGTTCCCTGTAAGTACTCAGGAACCCGTATAGGAGATGTCATACCCTGACAAGGCTCGTTGACCCCCACCATGACACCCTATCAAGCCTTCTTGAAACCCAATCTACGCGCATGAAGCTCCGATAAATATCAATGAAAGCCTTCTACAACCGTATACAACTGAACTGAGCCCTAAAATGACCTCTAACTTGAAACCCTAAACCGTAAAGCCTTCAAAGTGTTCCGCATCGTCGATTCCCACGTCTACCTCGACGCCCTCCTCCCTCTGTTGAACCGGTAGTACCTGTACTTTCGTCTTCTACGGCTCGTGATGACATGCTGGATGAGAATGGAGGGTCTCCTGATGACGGTGTGGGGTTTGGCGCCATCCGTGAACGAAGTCGTAGCCGTGATGCGCCTGAGCCTGCTGGGCATGGTCGTCGTCCGTGGGGTCAGTCGCGCCGTCGTCGTGGTTCTCGAGTGCCTGGACGTCGTCGTGGTGATTACTGAGTGAGGGAGCCTTTTGAAACTCAGTGTGAGCCTAAACTAGGCGAGCCTTTGACCTGTCTGCAGAGAGAAAGGCCCAACACACTTTAAAAAAAAAAAAAAAGCCTAAACTCTGAACCCTGAACCCTAACTCCCATCAAGGAACCCTTTAAAGAGCCCAACGACTTGTTCCCAGCCCGAGGAAGTCTGCCGAGCATGGGAGGAATGTCCAACTGCAGCCGGCTGCAGCGATGTGGATGCCGCGATCGCGTCTCATGGTGCCCCGATTGGCACTACAATGGAGTAGCACATGTTACTATATTTTGTATTTACCATTTCGTATTCTCTATATTATATACTGTATGTTATAAGTTAATTGTTATAAAGCTCCTTCTTTTCTCAAGCCATCCAACCTGATGCGCACCTGAAACTGCGGAACTTTTTCCCCAGACTCAAGTCGAAGCAGTCGTCCCAAACCTTTGTCTCTAAGAACTTAGACCGTTGTCCCCAAACCGAAGAAGGCGTCAACGAACCCGTTCAGGAGTCTAGGACATAAGAAATACGAACATGTGTAGACGAATTAAAGTTACACATTTGTGTAATAGCCGCGATCGAGGCTGTTGCAATCTAATTTACGGACCAACCCTGAACCCAACCCTATAAGTACCTATGAACTTGAGTAGGGTTTGCGGGATCGTTCAGGAGTGCTCCTGATCATCCTCGCAGCGCATCTGTCCCTCCCTATCACGCTGATTCAGCTTCTTGGCGCCGGGCTCAGGCGGCTTTCGTAAAGAATTTCCGTGCTTTTTGGCTTTGCATGTCAGGTTCGATTTGCTCAGTTAGTGCTCTAAGGTCCCTTAAACCCTAAACCGAGTATTTGTCTTCGTCGAGCTTTGGTTTTGCCCTTGAACCTAAAGCCTAAATCCTAAACCCTGTTTGCTTGTCCTTCCAGGATGAGAATGTCAGGCTCCGGATCGGTACGTCACAATTTTTTGGGGATGCAGGCGGGTTTTGGATTTGGAGTTTCAGTTTTGGCTTTCGGGGCTAGGGTTCAGGATTTAGGGTTTAGGGTTTAGGGCATGGGATAGCCTGCGCATTGCGAGAACTTCGAGCATGGGTTTGAATGCCCTGAACCTTAAAACTTTAGATCCTGTGCGAGCTGGGATTGTGTAGGGTTTCGGTGAGTGCAAAAATTCAGAGGGCTCCTGAGGGAAACTGGCGAGACGGTAAGAGTAAGTTTGTCGCGTTTCTCAAGGTAGCCTCTCACCCTGCGACATCCCCAAAGGGTCCAAAGTACCTATATAGTAGAATGTAGGGTTTCTATATTAGGAATTACTATTATGATTTGGGGAAGTATTCCCCATAACAGTACCTAGGACCCTTTGGGATCGTCTTCAGAGTGTACGGCCTCTAACTTGTAAGGTGAAGTTGACAACTGCGAGACCGCCTGTGACTTGAGCACAATCCAAAATACCCTAAACCCTAAACCCCTAAACCCCAAACCCTAAACCCTATAACCCTTAAAACCTTAAGCTCGAACCTCATCCGGACCGTAAGCCTAAGATCCTACATCGTAAACTCTACATACGCCCCGACCCTGCGCATTGCACCTTGCTGAAGCCGTGATGAAGCTTCTAATTAAGGAATATACCTTAAATCATGTTAAGGATCCTACTATAATTTAAGGTATATTCCTTAATTAAGGGATTTTGGAAGGTCTGGGCAACGCCATCATATAAGCTCATACCCTGGGGCTCCAAATAACTCAAAGTAGGTATTGTTTAATGAATGAGTTTCTCAGAACCCACCATTGGGGGGAACAATATCGGTTTTAGATCCCGAGTTATGTGCTATTCGTGTACTTGGAGCCCTCGGCTTAAAATCCCGGGAAAATCTTAAGCCCTAAGCCCTCAAGCCCTAGGCTCTAGCAGCTAAACCCTGAAACCTAAACCCTGAATCCTAAATCCTTCATAAGAGCCTAGGCGCTTACCTGGCAGCTCATTTGCCACAGCAGGGACCCCGGTTCCGGCTGTGTCAACACCTCTGCATATGGTTTAGGCGTTGAGTAGTGGTTTACGTTTTAGACTCCATGGTTGCCTCTCCACGGCTTCAGGTTTTAGGGTTGAGGCTTGGGTCTGAGAGCTTAGGGCTCGGAGCCCTGAAAACCCGGAATAGGATATATGAAGTCAACGATGCGTGTGTTTGTCTGTCTGTGTGTGTGTCTGTCTGTCTGTCTGTCTGTCTGTGTGTGTGTCTGTCTGTCTGTCTGTCTGTCTGTCTGTCTGTCTGTCTGTCTGTCTGTGGGGTTTATTACGAATATATACCCTTCTTAGTAGTTGCTCTTCTGACATGTCCCAACACCCCACTCGAGAGGTTTCTAGATGGTTTCAGGTTCATGGTCGCAAGTCTAGCTAATACTACCGTACTGATGCTCTGAGCCTTGAAAAACTAGGCTCTGAACTCTGATTCGTAAGCCCAAGTTGTTCCGCAGTGGGTAAACGAAAGAAGAGGAAATACCAAGAAGAGTAAGACGAAGAGCAAGCTGTCTGAAGCCTCCTTCATCCTCAGTTTTACATGTGCAAAAGTCTCGTCCTTGGAAATTCTGGACCTGGACGAGAAAGGAAAACACCCTGGAACTTGGAACCCCTAAGCCGTAGAGAACCGAAAGCTCTGAATACCAGACCCCTTGACCTACAACCCCCTAAGCCTTACACACGCCCGAAGAAAGGCTGAATCCGAACACAATCCTAAAGCTTTAAAGTGTGACTCTCTCAACCCGCAGCCCCAAAATCGCTAAACCCCTACACCCCTATGTAAACCCTAACCTTACACACTTACAGGAGCCCTAAAGCCTTAGCTCTGAGGTATGTTGAATGACTGCGCGGTGCACTGATTTCCTGAAGCCGATTCGAACGCTGCGACCGTTAGGGATCATGCAGGGTTCACGTTCAAGGGATCTATAGGGATTCTATGAGGGTTTAGGGGTTTAGGAGTTAGGGTTTAGGATAGGGGTTTAGGGTTGAGGGTTTAGGGTTTAGGGTAGCATGTAAGCCCAAACTTGAGTCTGAGATATACAACAGCTTTAAGCTTGGTTATTTTTTAATACGGGGGGAGGTTCGTCTGAAACTTAGGCTTTTGTTGTTTGTTTCAAGCTTGGACAAGCATTTCCAGTACTTAGCCTTGAATGAGGGTTGAGGATAAAGGTGGAGTTGAATCCCTCCAAAAAGAAGAGCCATGCACAACCCGAGGCCATGAACTTGAGGCTTCAGACACCCGAAGCCCCAAGCCCCGAGCCCTCTAAGCCTGCCTTCCTGTGACAGAAGGAGGGCTCATCGCACATAAACAAACAGAACCTACAAACTACCTAAAGTCCTAAGCCCTCACTCCTAAACCCTAAACCGTTTTCGCCGAAACCCGATCAGTCCTATACCATCAACTTCGATGGGTGGCTGGGATTGGTTTCAAGATGAGTCTTAAACCCGAAACCCAGGGATCATCCTAAGCCCTCCACCTGATGCCCGAATCCGCGGCACTCTGCGATACCCAGAGGCTCTTTGGGTTGAGGGCGCCAGACTTTTGAGGTTCATACCAGAAACACCAAGACCATAATTGAGATGGTCTTTCAAGACTTCCTTCCATCAAGGTAGTCCGTGTGCCTCTTGTTAAAAAATTTTAATTAATATATGGAATATACAGAGACCCTACAATTAAAGTAGGTTTTGGTAGATTAAGGTATGTAGTGACTCCCACAAGCCGGAGCCGAAATCAGCCACCCAAGCTGCCTCCTGCCGCCGCGCCGCGGGAAAAAGCATCGCCCGGGCTTGCCAGGAATTGTCTAATGTAGTTACCTAAGGGTTCTTTTAAGGGTTCCTTTTGAAGGGGTCTATAAGGATTACTATAAGGAGTAATTATGTTAGGGGCTTTGTTTAGGGGCTTAAAATTACTTGAGGGTTCGTTTAAGGATTCCTTTCAACGGCTGGGCTTAAATAATTTCCAATACTAGTTTGGGGGGGTGGGGGGGCCTTATTGAAAATGACAATATAATGGGCCCCGAAACCCTATTCTAATTACTAAGGCCCCCATATTAGTTGGTCCCAGCGGCGACCTATTCAACCATTGCGAGCTGCCCTTTTGTTAGTTATAGTCTGTCTTATTTGAGTGGCTCCGTGACGGGGTCTACCTGGAAAAGGCTCAGCGTCGGAAGCACAAAGTGCCCAGACCTTCCAAAATCCCTTAATTAAGGAATATACCTTAAATTATAGTAGGATCCTTAATATGATTTAAGGCATATTCCTTAATTAAGGGATTTTGGAAGGTCTGGGGGGTGCAGAGCAGGGTTCCGGGCTTTCGATTTTTGACAAACAAAGTTCTGCCGTAGCTTCTTCAAGCCTAAACATACTGGAAGTCTAGGATGCAGGAGAACCCAGGAGCCCTAGCACTGTCTCTTACCGAGAGGTGTCGGTGGTTTACTGGAGCTTCCCAGACCTTCCAAGATCCCTTAATTAAGGAGTATACCTTAAATCATATTAAGGATCCTACTATAATTTAAGGTATATTCCTTAATTAAGGGATTTTGGAAGGTCTGGGTTTACCTGTCGTAAGAGCGAGCTGGGATCTCGGAATCCGGAGGAAGATGAGAGCGGCAAAGCTGCGAAACCTAAAGCGCTAAGGGTAAAACCTCCCTGCGATAACAAAAAGCTGCAACCCACTAAACCCCAAATCCCTAAACTCAGGCAGAAGGCACTCAGACTTGTTTTCGAATCTTCGGCCGACTGGGCTAAACTGTACGAGCGCGGCAACACCACTCTTCCTCTGTACTTGAGGGTTTCAGGTTGAGGGTTCGGGGCTATTTAATGGATGAGTCTTCAGGGTCGAGTCAGATAGCTGGAACATCTTTACCTACAGGACGCTAATGTGAACGAATCATGAGAGAGGTTCACTGTATAGTTTACTTGTAGCCGTAAGAGGGGGTTACATGAGTCTTCGGTTGCGGATGCACTCCGATACCCAAGTTATCCTAAACTGTATATCCACGTGTTTCCAAGCCTCAAATCCTATAACCTAATAACCTGGCGCACTCAAAACAAGCCCGGACTAAGAAGAATCCCACCCCCGCGACCCCCGACCCTACCCGAACTGCATCGGGCGTGCCCATCCTTCACACCCACAAACGGGTGCACGCACACCGCCAGAATTCTGAGGTTCCGCGTCCTTCTCGAGGAGCTTTGCATAGGTATCTGCTTAGGGAAAGGGTCCCACCACGGCTCCATAAGGATTCCATACGGGTTTGGGGTATCCTTAAGTCTCAGAACTTCCAATGTCCGAACAGCAACGCTGAATCCCGAAGAGTTGGTAGTATTGTTCCTGATGGTTCCCCAATATAGAATCATCCTATTAATATCCTATACCCCAATTCCCCGCCGTGTCCCCTAAACCCCGTACATCAAGCCCTATACGAAGCCCTGTTAGCCCCTTACCCCAAGGGTCCAAAGGACCCAATAATTAGGTACTCGATGTTAGGATAGCAGTTATGTAGGTTAGGATTTTGGAGAGTATATGATTGTTAGGTACTTGGACCCTTGGGGTTATGGAAGCTTAAACCACCTTAAGGGAGACCTTCGTGGGCTCCGCTTATTAATGTCCCGGCAATCTGAGAATCTTCGAGGAGATCTGGCTTCCCTTAATCCCGTAGAGGAGTATGGTGTTAGGGGTTTTTGGATTTGTGATTTCAGGGTTTAGGGTTTAGGGTTGGGAGTGTAGGGTACCAGACTCAGATGTTGACAAATTTGCGACGTCAAGGAATGTAGCCCACGATGGTATGGCTGAAGATTTTGTCCTGAGAAGGGCTTGACCCCGAAGACTATCCGAAGGGCTCCGTCCTGGGTAAAGCCCATAAGCACCAAGTAGCGCTAAGAATTTCGGGTCCTTTTGGGGCTTTGGGCTTATGGTTGGCTTGAACCTACAAAACCTGCCATGTCTAGGGTTATTTTAGGCGATTTGTTTCTATAACCCCGTCAACAGCTGATTCTTTTGGGTCGAGGTATACTGGTTCATGGGTTTAGGTTCGGGCAAGATTTAAACGGCTACACCTCGACTCTGCGAGGAGGGTCACATCCTGACCCTTGTGCAGGATGCCTTGTTTTCCTGGTTACTTATGTAAAGTAGCTATACCCTTGAAGTAGGGTAATACCCTATAGGTGCTTAGTCGCAGGAGCCTGAGGGCGGCGCCAAGTTTGACGAGTCGACCGATGGAGGCGCCGCAAAAGTCTAAGCAGCTAAACCGTCAACCCTAAGCCCCGAACACCTAACAGATAAACCCTTGTAAACCCAATTGACCATCGACCGGTAATCCCTGATCCACTAAAAACCAAGGCCTTAAACTACCTTAATTGCCCGACAAAGCCAATCACGGCTCTGGGGTTTACCGCGTTCGTTCCGGGTGCTTGGGGTTTATGAGAACTTCCTCATGGTTGAAAGGGTTGGGGGGGGAGGGGCAGTGATTCAGTAGAGTTGCATTACAGCTTGAAGCCGTCAGTGAGATTAGGAATGAGGCTTCCAGGATTCTCAACCTTCGTGGGTTCAGAGTTTAGGCTTTCGTGTTGCTGGCTGTTGCAGGGGATGTATTCAGGCTGTTCGACTCTGAGCGCGGTAAGGGTTTTTTAACTCGAGGGGTAGTATCCGAGACTTAGGGACCCTAATGTAGTACCCTAAATAGTAGGATCCTTGTCATAAGGACCCCAAAATAGGGTACCCCTAATTGTCGGAAACCCCCATTTAGGGTTTGTGAAAGCAGGTGTTGCAATATGTTGCAATGCTGCTTCTAACTTCAAGTTCTTCCGGCTATGAAGAATCTAGCTGGCCATTGCGATAGTTGAACATTCCTTGGCACCTACAGAAGCGTACCTATAGGACCCTTTGGTATGTGGGGTCTTGGCGCCTTTTGACCCTCAGCCGCTCTGCCCCAGGTGATGAGAACTGTATCTTGACGGTTTTCGTTCGCTCCGATGTTGCCACGGCCTCGGGTGGTGCTGGCATCATGTTTTAGTTTGAAGGTTGTCGCTTTCAGAGGTCCCCCTAAAGGATTGAACACTACGATTGTGTGGTCTTTTTGAAGGTGTTGCTGCTAAAGGGATTCGTTTCATTCCTTTTCGCACATATAACCTGAAGGCGCTAAGCCCCAAAACTCTAAACTCGGTGCCCACAGCGGTACCTGTAGGCCCATACGTTATGGATCTGGGTTTTGGGGTCTCTCTTTGCAGTTTGGGACACAGAGGGTTAGGCCCGACATACTTAAGGCTTCCGGCTCGAAAGCCGTGCCACTGAGTCCTTCGGGTTGGAGGCTTCCCTGTCGGCTTAGGCCTTGGGGTTTAGGGCTAGGTAGGGCTCTAGACCCTGTGAAAATTCCTGAGAATCCCGATAACGGTTCACCTCCTTTCCCCGCATCCTAAATCCATCAAAATAAACACCTAAGACCTACATACCTCGCATCCCAAACTCAAGAGTTCCCCCCCTCGAAAAAAACAGCCTATGTCAAGATCAATAAAATACTCCAAACAATATGACTAGTCATCAGACTAGTTATTATATATACTTTGATAGCCGAACGAACATTGGAATGTCTTATGTCAAGAAGTCTCAACCGACCCAGGTCATTCGCGACCCCATCGACAGAATCAAGAGCACCCTCGTTGTGCGATGGGTGCCTTGCTCAGATGAGCCCAGAGCACACCTATGATCCAAATACCTCTTATATACTAGGATGCCCAGTAGTACCCTTATTCATTTCCTAGGTTTTATACTGTCAAGTTACCCAACACCAAGAAGGGAGCCCTGTTTATTCCTAGGTTACTGGGCATCCTAGCTTATGTTTCGTGACA